TTAGAGAATAAAAACTGCTTAAATGTTAGAGTGTATAGACAAAGAGAATATTGAATCGCTTTTATCATTCATAGATATAATAAAATAAAAACTGTTCTAAGAAATATTTTTCTATATAACAATCATTCGTCTTGGCTCGGTAGTGATGTATCGTTCGTATCTATTGAAAGAAGTGAAAACGGAAGAACATGAAAAAGACGAAAATTATTAGGAACACAATTCTGAATGTAAGTTGGAAACAATGCCAAAGACTATTCAAAGTAATAGTTTGGAAGGCCTACTTGGCTCACTGCTATACTTGTATAATGTATATATACATTATACAAGTACTGTGACATTTTGTTGTACTTTATGACTGTTTTATTATGAGAGGCGACCTCCTAAAACAAACATTACAATTCTATAGGAAGCTACAAAATATTAATGACACAGAAAAAAATGAACTGTTAAATGAAATTCAGTTATTCGGATACTATGCTTTTTTATTATTTTATATCTACATAATCTCGACGATTCGGGTTCCGTGATCACAAATGAACATCTTAAATATCATTATAGAAGTCAAAATCTTAGTATTTGTATCAAAGTGGAATAGTACTGACCAGATCTACAAGGAACCTATGCTGACTATTGAATAATCCAAACAAAACAAATAATTATTAATTATTATCAATTAAAAATATATTCTTAGAAAACTGATTAAAAATAATCCTACTAAACAGTGACTGGTCTACAATTTTTTCAAACCATTTTTAATATTATTAGTTTTTTTTATTTTTAAACTAAACAGAAAATATAATGAAAAAACATAAATCAACAATAAATATGTTTCCTCACTAACTACCACTGAACTAAATTATATTTCTTTAATTTCAAATCGATGCACCATGCATATAAAATCAGTCACAGCTGCTTCTTATACGAACATGTGAATTGAAATGTTCAAGAACTCTTCACACAATAAAACTGTATCAGTCTTTATAGTTAGTTATATGAGTATATCACAAGCTCCACACATGAGGGTGTCAATTAATGAATTTAAATATAACTTCTATTTAAAAGCTAGCTATCTAACACATGTGTCTAGAGATAGTAGTGTTAGACTGGAGACGAATATTAAATTTACTAAGTATATATGTATATGTATAATGGAAAAAAATAGATGTACATATGTTATAGAATAATGTGAGTAATGATAAAAGTGATTTTTTTCTTTAAGGTGTATTAAATATATCCGGGATCACTTATTCAGTTTTCAAACTTAGGAATTAGTAAATAAATGATTCTCTTTTTACGTGCATTTGTGTTTTAACTACAAAATTATATATTTTATACTCAATATTAATTTCAGCTAAATATATTATAATTTTATTTCACGAGACATCGAGCAGCAGGAAATTGTCACTAGAGGCATGCAAGTTACACAGCGAGTAGGGCAGGAAATATTTAATATGTTTAGAGGAGTTTAAATCTACGATATAAGTATTAAATATTTATAATAAATTATGTATATAACTTTATTATAAGAATTAATGTTTACCATTTATGAAGGAACCTTGTATAAAAAATTAAAAATGATCTATATTGTCGTAAAGATTTCAGTAAAGTTTATATACTTCTCTAATTGACACGACTGAAAACTAATTTACCATTTCATTTGACATCAGCTGTGACCAGTAGAAGTGACCTCCAGCGGGGCTTACGTGACACTAGTTGTAGGAGAAGTAAATTAACACGACTTTTGGCTATCACGGACTCGAGATAGAAAAGACAAAAAGATTACAGAAATATACATCAAGTAGAAATATACAGAAGAAACACGTTTTAATATAAAAGTACGAAATTATATATTATAATATTAATAATGTGTGGTACTAGAGTGAAACCACTGTAGAAAGAAATATAAAATTGAGTAAGTCTAACAACTGATTAAGTCGATGCCAAAATTGTGGTCATACATATGGTTGGGTTGGAAAGGTCAAGTCTGGGTGGTCGGTTATCGTAGATCAAGATAAAGATATAAGGTCTGTAGTTGAGATATCATTACTACTGGATATATTTCATGAAATATATATTTCTAAGGAAATTTTTATATACAGTACCATTCAAATAAACACGCTACTATCTATTACTATTCATAATTTTAATTCATTTTCACAGTTAACGTTTTCTATAAATCTTAAGTAATGTCTTGGTACGGCAGCGTCTATATACTTGTAGGTAAGGTTTTATAAATATATGTTGTATTTTCTAGTAACATGAGTTTTATTTTTACCCCAAATATATTTTCTTAATATACAACGGTGTATTTTGGGTCTTTTCATCGTGTACACACTAACACACACATACACAACACACACAAATCGCTCACAATACGCTCGCCTCAATAATTGAGTAAACAATGTGCTTTTAGTTTTTATGAATCATTGCTACAGGAATGGAAATACTAAACAATTACGACATGCTTCCCTTCATGTCTTAATGGGCCTTCAATATGCTTTTATTTATAAAGGTTTTCAAAATTAAATAATGTAATCGCTAGAATCCTTTTTCTTTTAAACAAGCCCTTTCATTCGATTTCCCTTTTGTAGAAGAGCCTTAAAAATAACTACTCCACCCTCTTGGATGAACCGCCATGTTGGATTAGGGATGACGTCATAAAACGCGGCATTGTCATTCAAACTAAACTTTTATACAAAATTTCAGCGCAAACGATTGAAGGCGAACAAATTGCAAGAGGATTTCACTCGAACAAATGTGTATATACATATGTATGTACATACATAGATTGCAAGTTAAATATATACTAATAGTAACTATGTGTATTTTTATATAAATATATTCATATCTCTTCGTTTTATTGTAATTTATTTGTATTATATATAGTATAGTATTGTTTCGTAAACATCAGATGTCACAAATCTCGTCCTGAGAGCACTCATTGAGAGCAACGTACATAATACTTTGAACAATCAGCTTTGGAAAGATTATTTGAATATGATATCTCCATACAATACATTAGTACGTACAGTTTGAAGCACTTTATTATAAACAACCTTTAACTTATGTTATAGTATTTTTTTGTACAAAAGTAGATTGAATTATTGATGTGAGACACTCAGCACGTTCCGTTTTATTGAACACTTCAACACTTTTACGTTACAGTCGTTAAAACTGTTGTAAAGAATTAACAACTCTTTAAACGTGAACATTACACGCGAATTATGTTTTTGAGGACTGTTAATGAATATTAAAAATATATTGTATACAATAGAAAACATTTGGTTTATAAATTGTCATATATATTCTTCTCTACCTGGCAATTTTCCCAGCTATAACCAGGGTCTGCCTTACATGTTGTGAATAGTTTTGACTAATTGTTTTTACGACAGGTCGCCAGCCTGACATCAACCCTCTCGTGGGAATAATTTGTCATATATATTAAGTAGAATATAGGTAAGTTGGAACCTGGTCATACATTCACTGAATGGAAACTCATAAGGAATGCAACGACTGAAATAGAAGCTATGTACGAGCTATGAAACGTTGTGGTCAGTTTCCAACGAACAGTACTCTCATTGTATTTAAGTATTTATAGTTTAAAATAAAATATTTATATTTCTATGAATGCTGCGGAAGTTACATACTCGTAGCTGGTATGTTTCCAGTAAGTATTTCTGTTCACAGTCCCTTTCTACGATCGATTCTGTTCGGAGCGTCGACTCACGACTCCCAACGGATTTATATTATAAACCTTATATTCTTTTATACAGTTATTTTCAATAACAGTAATAACAATTCAACATTGTTATGTTTAATTCTGTTTTCAATATAATTCTATAAATTTTTTAACTCTCCATATATTAGTAAATATCTATACACACTTTATATCTCGTTTCTTTATAAATCTGTTCTATCGACGCGTTATTTATATTCGCTTCACTCGTGTATTGCTTTTTCTTACAAAATGCAGTTTTATATATTTCCCCCTTCATATATTAGTTATATTTAAAAAACGTTATAGTTGTTTCATTTTCATGAACACACTTATTCTACCGCCGACTCATTTATTGATTTTTTTATATACAAGTTTTATTTTCGGTAATTCTAACTAGAACTTAAAAAATATCAATATTCATATACTAAACACATAATGTTACTCATTCCTAACATATCTCGACATCGTTCATTTAATATGAATTTAATATATTAAATGAGTGTCTAAATTTCTGTTATATATATGTACCTACTTAACATACAAGTGACCGAGTCAGCCCGCACCATCAGATAAGATCTTTGTCTGAAACTGTTTATAATCCTAAAGATCAACTCGGTGTGATAAATGACAACAGCGTTGTTGACAAGAATATCTAGATCTTTGAAAGATATCAGTATTTATGTAGCTAAGTTACAACCCTGTCAATTTTTCGTAACTCCCAAAATAGTATCACATTATTGAGTAATATTCCTCGTAGAGGTACATTCTCCCTATAATTTATAGTAAGACATATAAACATGTCCGTTATCAGCGTGGAACAGAACAATACGCTAAGTGTTCACTAATATGATGCCGATGAGAGATGCACGTCTAGAAATAGTTTAACAAAACATTAACGAACAACGTGGAATAGTTCACGCCCTTGTTAAACAGTTGTAAATCAAAATTACGAGTCGTTCTGTACACACACACACATACAAACACACACACACATACAAACATACACACACACACATACAAACATACACACACACATACGTACAGACATGTGTGTTGAATATATAATTGTCTTTAAATTTGCTAATTCTTATACCACTAGAGAAATCCCTTACTTGTAGAAGTAATAATAAAAGTTTTCCTTTCACCATCTAAACAAACTATATTTGTATTTGTTTGAGCTTAATAGTATCTAGTACTCGATGTTATTTCTGTAATATTAGAACCTCTACCAAAGTACAAGAAAATGCTTTTCAAATATAATGATGGTAGTTGTATATTTTACTTCCCTGCAATGCGGTCCGTCTCCTTGGATATTCCCATGATAGCGACCGCGTTAGTGGGGGCAGGGGACAGGGGACAAGGGGCAAGGGGGCAGGGAAAGCGGGGGGAGGGACTTTATTTCGTTTAACATTTACTGTAAGAACAAAACATGGTGAAACAATCTAACTAATACTACGAATGGTCAACTGACATATTATTTTGGAGCTTACTTAAATGAAATTGCAACTTATAAATATTGTCAAAAAACACAAGAAACATTCATATGTCGTTCCCTTCCACAGAAATTACGAGTCGTAAAGGTTACAACATTATTTCATACCACCGCTTTTCATAAGGTTTGCTCTATGTTAATCTTAAGTGTGGCAGTTAGTAGGTATGTATGTTGGAATCATACATATATATACAAAACAGTAATCACATAAGTTAATTGTTGTTTATATTTGGTAATAAATATCAGCTAATGAAAACCGTTCCTGTACTTTTATAACGAGCGTCGGTCGTTTTATGATGGACTCGGTCTCGTGCTGTTTGCTATAAATAAACTATTTTTACGATATCTCGCGAGGTTCGAACTCTGATTGATAGTTTTATTATATTACTGTGTTTATTTCAAGCGCTGTTTACACGCTGACCTAATGATTATAACTTTGATATTACCGTGGAACTGATACGACGTGGACGATGTGTTAAAAATGTGTTAAAATATTATAACAGTAATAACTAAGAATAAATCTATTGTATCTTCTTCTACCTGACAATTTCCCGGCTATAGCCAGGGTCTGCCTTACATGTTTGTAAATAGTTTTGGCTAATTGTTTTTTTACGACCGGCCGCCTACCTGACATCAACCCTCTTTTGGGAATCAGCATTAATCAGTGATGTCTAAATATTCTTAGAAAGTAAATATGATTCGGAAAAATCATATTGGTACTTGCTCGGGCCAGGATCGAACCCACGCTCTCGGCAACGAAAGGCGGGCCCTCTTACCATTAGGCCACCACTGACTTTCAATAAATCTATTGTATATTTTAATATTATTTTATATTTGTATGAAAACTGCACAAAAAATATTTACCATGAAAAATGTTGTGATTTTTCATTTAATTGTTTGTGAATTTTCGTTCAACGTTATAGAAAAGAAATCTTGGCATAACAATAGAACGTTTTGAAATCTAAACAACAGTTTGTATAACAAAAATCATTCGTTCATTCATTTATATACCGCTACAGATAAAGCTGAATAAAAAATGAGAATATTGATGTCATGATGTAGTTAAAAGGTCTACTTAAAAGATATATCCATCAAAAGACGCTATTTGAAAACCTTGCTTATTTCTACAAATTTGAAAGCTACGTAATGAATGAAAAAAATATACAGGTTACAAAATTAGAGATGATTATTATTTATCAACAAAAATCTCCATACACTTCCATCACATCAGAAAGTGAGAGATTTACTGCATCTATAGCTTAAGAATATGTGGACCGGTAAAAGACGAAATAAAATTTATTTAGGGTAAATTATAGCGGTAAATAAAAATAACTTTATTAAACCCCTTACCACCATGGATAAAAAATATTTATACTTAAATAAATAGTATTTATAGCGATACTATTAAAATTACAAGTTTTCCATCGACCCTCGTACGTCTAAGAAACATAAAACAAAATTATACATACAACGTAGCTGTAGCTAACAGTCCGAAGAAAATGGGTCAGTGCACTCCGATTATATACTTGGTTTAACATTAAACATTCCGACGATACGAACATGCAGCCCCGCCTGCAGCGTATTAATTAACGAAAATATTACTATAATATATACATAGTCAGTAAAGTCAGTGGTGGCCTAGTGGTTAAAAGGCTATCCTCTCGTGCATGAGGGCGCGGATTTGATCCTGGCAAGTACCAACGTGATTTTTTCAAGTCATATGTACTTTCTAAGATTATTTAGACATCACTGTTTAATGCATTCCTAAAGACGGTTGATGTCGGTCAGGCCGGTCGTAAAAACAATTAGCCAAAACTATTCACAACATGCAAGGCAGACCCTGGCTAAAGCTGGGAAATTGCCAGGTAGAAGATATATAGAAACAAAGCAAAAACAAAAAAACTTGTTAAATACTATACGAAGGACGTAAATGTGTGGATAACATTTTTGTATCTAAGGCTGTGATTGCCATAAAGTTAAAATATTATCATTGGCCAATAAAAACAATGAAAGAATGAAATAAATACTTCAATTAGTTTAAACAACAGTTATCTCTTTGGAATGTTATTTTATTAAAACGATGAACGAGGATTAATTCAGCTTAAGACGGTTTAACGATGTGATTTGGTCGCACGTGTTTAGAACAGACGCTGTTTAATTGGATCGCTAAAGGGTTAAAGTATTGAGATATCAGGGCACATGATTGCTGGAACTATTGTTAAATACGTAGAGTAGAAGATTTGATTTTTACAAGGAAATATTTGATTTAACAAATTTTGCAGTCATGGCAAGCGATGTTGGTCCCTAGAGACAAAAATCTCTGTAGTGAAAGAAAAGCTTTTTTATTATGAATTTCCTGATTCTGAAGAATACTATAAGTGGTGCTCTTTTCGTTTTAATTCAAAACCATAATTTCAAACCTCTTTTTTTGTTAATATCCAAGCACTTATGAGAGGTATGACAGCCGATCCTCGTATACTGTTACGATACAATAGTTCCCGTATATTTTCTTACATGATTTACACTGCTGTAGTAAAGTCGAACAAAGTCCCAACCGACACAATGTATATATTTAAGAACGTCTATATTTAAAGTTTCCTTCGTTTTAACGTAATTATTTGTTTGCTTGTGTATATCTGAACGAGTTCCACAATCCTGCAGAACTTTAAACAGATTCTGTGTATTTATAGTTATCGTATATACAGTTCTAGTAGGAAGTCTCAATACCATAAAAATTAACGTGACTTTTATGTATTTTTTTTATCGATTTATGTGTAATAGTTGTTTATTTAGTACGTGCTGTTTGTTTGTCCTGTTGTTTATTGATCTGCTCCGTCGGTTTCGTCAATAATCCGGTGCAAATATCGATCGCTGTTGAAGGCGAATGCATTAATTTTGCCGAACTATGAGTCAACAAACATTCCAACTCAGACTCCGTGTGCTCGTAACAATACATATATATTTTAACAGACGCTTAATGCTTTGCTTCCTCTTTACGATAAATTCATTTTTTTTGGTAAACAATGTTATTGTTGTTAATCAACATAATGTTTAATGTACGTGCGTGTGTGTGTGTATTTGTGTGTGTGTGTGTCTGTGTGTGTAACACCCGCCCAGTGCGCACACGCATACAATATACTAAAATAGTTGTGAACAAACCAGTGGGCGGAGGAGTTGCACGCTTCGATCTGTCAACAGGAATTGTTAGATCGATGGATTATTGATTGTGTTAAAAATATACTCATTAATACAAACAATAAATTAAAAAGAAAACATTTTATGCGGTTATGAAAAATGTTCTGAAAATGGCTCACCCGATAGTTATTTGCTCTTTAAGATTAAACTACTACAGACTTTCCTCAATACATGAGCATCTGTTAGACATTAATTTGGGAAAATGTTCACTTTTGTTAATTAAGGATAATGTTGCCGCAATTTGCTAGAGAAACTAATTGTTACGAAATTTAATTTTGCTTCTTATCGGAAAATAAACGAAAACAAAGTTATGTTGAGGAAGTTGAATATACAATTACAAAGTGGCCCGTGAAGACTGATGGGACGAAAGAGGAAATGAATTTAACATTCGCTGTATTAAAGAAGCAGTAAGCGAAACTAATATTTTTCGGATATACTATGCGATTTTTATCTTTGACTATAAAATACATACTCCCGACGTTTCGGTTATTTTCCAGCAAACCATGATCACGGACAGACGAGATGTGTGATCAGGGTAGTTTTTTTACAAACAAAGTCTCCTAGTATAATCCGAAAAATATTAGTTTTAATGAATAAAACTCTCGAAAATTTAAGATCTCATTAAGCAGTAGGTAAGAAATTATATTAAATAGTGAAGTACGAAGAAATGTATCAGTGACTTACAATAAGAAATATATTAAAAGTAAAGTTAATATTTAATAAATATATCAAAGGTTCTATGGGAAGTAGTTAATAGTTGTATATAGAACTGTATCGAACACAACACTCAATACAACGATCGGAAACAGTCTCAATAAAGAGAGATTTATAGTGTGTTTATTCATTTCAAACATTAATATTAAAAACTTTGTATGTAACATGGGGGAGTGACGTCATAGTGTAATGGACATTTAATTATATAGGATCATAATAGTCTATCTATCAACAAATGAGAATCACGCTTTAGACTAGAACGTTAAATCTTAAACAGTGAATACTCTCCTGTTAATGAGACAATATTTTAATATTAAATATTAAAATAATATGTAACTCAATTCTAAGCTCTTAATATTTTATATCCTTGACATTTAACCCTAATAACAAGTAACAAACATCTAAGAAGAACCACTTAATTGTGAAATTTAGTAACACCTCAAATAACCAATTCCTTTACCTACCAATACGAAAGTCGCTAACACAAATATATAACTATACAAATGTTGTATTCAATGTAATACAAAACTCTAATTTCAGGATTAGCTTAGAAACGTAATCTTTGATGTTCATTGAAATAATTTTCAAGTCTTGTAAATATAATAGGAGCTTTGTTGCCGCAGTAACGGATGCTTTGTCTGTGATCTCCAGTCGTGCTCTCAGCGAGGATTATTATATGAGATGTGCTCTGAAGAGAATTATACGTTACTTTCATACAATACCATTCAAGACGACTTTATGTTCAAATGCTACTTATATCTAGAAAATTACTTTTTAATTTGATTTGGTATAAAAGACGGAAGAAAATCTGTTGTTCATTGTTAGAGTTCGGTCACTCAAGCAAATTTTAGTTTAAAACAACTAATTATAAAAGTTAGTTCATGAAACCCTTAAACACGATGGCTAGTCATTTCATTTTGTTTTAAAGAAACATTTGTTCAGAACGATTAGGGATATGAAAAGTGAAAATCTCATTTTTATTTGAAACAATTTGTTGTGATCATTTATTATGTAGGGATTTTTTTGAATTGTAAATTAAAATGGAATTTAACTCGTTGCTCAGTTTTTGACTGAACGACTATACTACAATCTCCTTAATAAATCACAGTACAACTGGACACATTACTTTATTCACAATAAAGTAATAAAAACTACTATAAGGTACAAAATCAGCTTATATTCTTATAAATGCGTTCCACAACTTGAAGTTCACTTCTGACATGATACAAATGTCACATAACTATTTCCTATCCAGTATTATCAATGAATATCGCAGCTCAATAACAATACATTTGGCTGTCATGAAAACATCAAATCATTAAGAAAACCAGCAATAGATTATATGCATAACCTATTTCTTTATATTCGATAGTAAAACAAAGTAGTTCTAAGAAGCAATACGTCAGTCATAGCTTGTAATACAGTCCAGATTCCTCACGATCTATCCGTTTATATGATAAAAACAATAATAAGGAAGCCAGCGTTACTTGGACTATTTCGTATGAGTATGAGTCATAGTATATTAAATCGGGTTTATTGAATACATTAATGCTAATACTTGAACGCTATGTATCAAAGTTTCGAGAGCCGTATAATTGGATCCGACGCGTTCTGTTTGTTGTCATTATTTACGAAGCCATCGCTTAACATCGATTATATTCATCACGAACAGATTTGTATATACTTTTGTGATTCATTTGATTCATTATCATATGAGACAAACCGAGGAATAATGTTTAATACTTGATCAACATATATTACTAAGTTTGAGACATTTTTGGTATCGATGTTTTTATAAATATATTGTTATGTTGCATGTTTGTAAAATTTTCACTACATCAAAATAAATAAATGTAATTTGTTTGAGCTGTACGGCCTGTACCTAATTGAAAAGTGTTTCATTCATTGTATTTGTTCTCTTATAAAATTATAAGAAAATAAATTAGTTCGCTATGAAATATTGAATGTTTGTAAAAGCTAGCTTATGCATATGTAAATGTATGTATGTATATATATATATTCCTGAATATTGTGTAGTTGCTAATATTATATACGAAGACTCAGCAATACAACTCTAGTATTTGTAGTCATTAAACTAAAAAAAAATGTAATACTATAAGATGTATTATTTCGAACATAGGTTCAAAGCCTGCTCGTGTCGATGTATTTCATTAAAGTAATTCTTATTTAAATTATCCATAGTAAAACAACATAATTATACTTTAAGAGTACATAATTTTCTGAATATATTATTTCTATATGCACTTTATCCTCTAAGTATCTGTTAATAAATCTTCTACATAGTTAATGTTAGCACTAATCTTTTCCGTTCCGGGAAACTCTTTGAGGATAATTTTTATGAAAATTATACATTATGAGTATAATTAAATTGTCCCGGAGAATTTTTATACCGGGAAAGAAAGTCATTATAAGACGCTGTGATCTTATTATGACTATTAATAAAGTCTTTGAATTAATTAAATTATTATAAAAACCTTGTTAGAAAAAATTCTTTTATATATTATGTTAAAAATTACTAATAAAATATATTCAGTAATAATGATTGGCTAACTATTTAAAATGAAGGCTTTATCCAATTTTTTTGGTTTTTCTATATTTTCATGATGTAATATTGCATCATATTACAAGTTCATAGTCCGATAAGCATCAAGCACTTTATAAGCAGACTATACTAGAAATTATTTCACAATAAGTAATATTAAAACTAACAGTATTTATATAATTGACACCTACAGTGGACTATAAGGATGTACATGTACAGGACCGCCTACGAACATTCGCTCAAGTCGTGCAGACAACCTATAAATCTACGGCGTAGCTTGCGTGTCTACGACGTAGCTCGTACAGCCTTCTACGAGATATTTTTGTTCAATTTTAAATGCGACATGAGATAATTTGCTTAAAAATTTGGCTCTTGTATGTCCGAGTAAGTAAACGAAGACAAAAGACTTGAATGAAATATGTTAACATAATAATATATTTTTGTCATTTTGCGTTGTGATCAATTTTAAGAGTCTACATTATTGAGATGTATAATTCACTTAGAATTTGGTCATAAATTTGTTCCTTTATAAATGTGTTTAGGAGAATCTTACATTATATTTCATTCATATACAGGGTGACTGGTGAATTACTATCAATATTTAAGGAGAATACTCGGTACATGATTCTCATTCGAATTATGTAAAAAAAATAGGTACTTAATTTTTGACAAAATTTCCGTATAAATAAATAAAGTGTGTACACGTTCCAAGTGTTCCAAGTGTGGACGCGTGCGGCGGCGTGTTGATACAACACCACGTCACGACATGCGTATGAGTGTCAGTGTATACCTAATCTGTAGGGTGTTCACACGATGCGTAATTAATTACATAACTTTTGGTTAACTTTACTTAGAAGTTTATTAATATTTATGTTATATTAATTTTTATTTTGTCATATATGATCGTCAAATATCACGTCCTCAAATATCGATAGTAATTCACCAGTCACCCTGTATATTTGCAAAGAGGTCTTTTCAATAATATATATTAACCGGTCTATTAAAATTATCATTTCATTATTAAAATGTACTCGTAAGTAAAGAATAGCGTCCATAGATTTTTTTGTAGTAACACATAAAATCATCACAGAAATCTGATCATTAGACATACGTATGTATGTATGTTCGTTAAATAATATTACTAAGAAAAATGTCGCCCAGAAAAGTTTTTATTAATCGTCATAAATTCCTTCGACCTAATGACTTGTAGTACAGTAATGTAGAAAAGAATTCAACAATAAGACTATTTATGAGAGCTCTTGCTTGTGGTTCGCTTGCCAACGGAATTTAAAATTTAATTTACACGCCTCAATTAAACGAAAGTGTAGTTTATTAGTTCACTCAAAGAAAAACAAAGAAAAATACTTCCAAGAGACGATGAGAACATTGACAAACAAGAATTGTACACGGATAAAACTATCCTGGGAATGACGCACGAGAGAATGTTTGAAACAAAACAAAAGATAAAGAAATATATAGATCGATCCCAAATGTGGGTACACTGACGAGACCATAGAAAATAAACAGAGAAATAATGTACGGCAACGGTAGACTTGGTTCATTACTATCCGCAAACAAAAAATAAGACAGTAACGTTTACAAGGGACTTGAAAGATTTTGGTAAACAGCTAATGGAAACTAAATATTCCTCACAAACAAAAGACACGTCTACAACATACAGCAACACGGATACAAACTAGTTCTATATAACATATGATCACCTGGCTATTCGTGTTCAATGCGGCCAGCGTGCTGGCTGCATTTCGGGACGACTGACACGGGCGAACACTTGGGTACACAGCTGAACACTGGACAGAACAAGTGCGGACAGCGGCGGCTCTCGACCGGGACTGACTCTGCCTCGCCCTGGTCGATACCCTGCTCCCCCCCTCCGCCCCGGGACCTGGAGCCCCCTCCCCCCTACAGCTGCCTCACCCCCTGCCGGACCCTGCCGCCCTCCTTGTACAACAGGTTAGCATGCGTGCGCCGCCTGTAAACACGGAGCTCCGTTGCACAACGCTCACCGCCCTGCATCACGATCGACCTATTAATCAAAATGATCACTACCTTCATACACACTCAGTCCTAACACTCTCTGGACATGACACCTTTCACTTTAAGCCGCTTCTAGGATGCCAACCTAGAAGCGATATTGGAATATAGTGACAGGTAACGAACTGAAGGCATACGAATGGTTAAGTTCTGTATCGACAACAAAGAGCTTTAGACAAGATGCAACGGAGACTTTATTTTAAAATAAGACGATTTAAACAAAAATAAACTGTATGTAATACAAAGATCATTACATGACACATTACTACACAATTATTTTAACGTACTTCGCATTTCTTCCTTCGAATTTTCCTCGACTTTCTGCATCGAACGCCAGTTCATCGACCTAATGACCCAAATAACCGATAATGTCGGAAAATTATTACAACCAATTTATTACGATACTGCATTTATTATAACCAATTAGTTTAATGTTCCTTAAAATTCGTTTCGAGAGACTAAAAAGTTGAAGAAATAAATAAATTTGATATATATAGTTGTCGAGGTATCAACACACGTGGTAGTAAAGTGAAGTGGATGTATGAAGTACCGTAGATAATACGATTCAATAGGACACGGTGAATGTAGCCAGTCGATTGATTGCTTCCCACACGTATACCATAGTAATGATTGATCTATGTATATTCGAATCTTTTATATTTGTATTAAAACGCTGAGTTTAAACATAAAGCGCCGTAAAGCGGTACATCGCTTCATTGAAAACAGTTCTGTTAGCTCGTGCATGCAATTTAATTTGAACAACACAAATCAATTATAGCTCTGAATAAATAGGAGAAGTTTAAACTGCGTTCACGTTACTAAGTTAAATTTGTTGCGGAAATAGTTTACAGTGGGGGGAAATTTTAGCATTTAGAAGATAATTGCATTAACTAAAACGAGGTATCTCACTACCTACACGTTGTGATTATAATGAAATGAATCTGGGAGAGTAATGGACACGCTGTCAGCTATTACTATATGAAAGACAATTCAAAAGCATAAAACATTTATATCATATATTTTTTTGGTATTTTTTGGAAAAAAATTAGATTAATGATGTATGTATGTATATAATTTTTTTTCAATAAAAGGCACACATACTAGGGTGATAATCATAATTTTAAATTATAATTATACTGTATAATACCGGTTTAAAACAATAAAATGGAAAAAAGTTAATAAGATGAAACCCATTGGAAAAGAGGTGCACAGTATAAATATGAAAGGGAAAATAATTTCCTGGCAATCTGAGGGCGGGAAGGGAAAAGGAAGGGAAGTTTTTAAGGGTTAAAAAGGGCTTAATTCGATTTCCGGCAAAAGTAAGAGTCCTATGGAGAAAAGTCAAAAGGCAAAGATGTAGGTAATATACAGATCTAAAACTTTTGTACTTACTATTTGTTTTTCATATAATTTTAAAATTGAAATGTGAAAGGTGAAAAAAACGAAGTTTTTTTTTTTTTTTTTTTAATTTTTATCTTTTACAATAGATTTTATTTCATTAAATATGGTGAGAACTTACCTTTTTATGTCCTTTGGGACATATACGCTGTTATTTATTTTATTAGAAATATTTAATTTTTCACTTTATTTTGAATTAATATCAGTTGTTTCCAAAAAGTTGGTATGCTTTCTGTTCTTTGAAATGTCTACTTTCCCATTGTTATAGTAATTTCTATACTTATAGTAATAGTATAGTTTTAATTTAAAAACCGCAAACACACAGTATGTAGTGTGAGGATGCGTCCTCGTAATAAGGATATAAAAACTTTTAAAAACCTACAAAACTATAAAAATATTTAAGTTCTATCTAATTTTGGCCTATTCGCCTTAGGAACTGACAAATTTCTTGAACTAAAGGTTCCATTTCTTTTATATGGTAACTTAAAATTATGTTTTCGATATATATGTATTTGTATGTGAGCAAATAAAATATTAAAATATACATTATACGATATATTTAGAACGATTCAATGAAAAGTAAGGTAAAATATATTACAGTTCAATAGTAAAGATTTATTTCTTTGTTTCAAAATTTAACCCTTACAGGCCGTAAAGTACAGATGAAGCGGAACGGCCGTGGCAGAGCAGCCAACAATCAGCTGACCGTGTGAACATTGATAGTTCAATTCATTCGTGCAAGCGATCAGTTATTTAAATACATACTGAACTCCTTATATTAATATACGTATATATTATTATTATATTCATAATGCATTTCTACTATTGACACCGTTTCCATTTCTATGTGTCAATCATTGAGTTAAACTTCTTAACCAACTTTAATACGTAAGCGTATTTCAGAAAGTTTAATTTAAATCTCTTCACCACAAAAAAGGTTTTAATCACATTCTCTCAGACTGGAAAATTCTGAGGTAAAGTTATTAACGTGTTTCCACCGCGTGACCATAAATAAAAATAGTTTCATATAATTTATATTCACAACATAAGTTATTTGTTGATTAACACAATTTAACTACTAATAAGCATATTATTTTGTTAAATATCTGAACACGAAAAATCTAAGAAACATATCGGTTAATATTTTAATTATTATAACTGCTTTATTTTCATTCGATTGATACTAACGGCTGAATGCCGATTTCATTGTCTTTTTATTTATAACTACCCAAAAAAATGGCATCGAACAAATATTTCTCAAGTTTTTTTTTTAAAGAAAGGGATAGACATAGTAGTAGGAGTAGAAGTTTCAGAATCGTAAGTATCACCTCATTTAAGGCCACACCAGTATAGTAGTAAGTGTTATATATTGAGTATCATTCAGTATAAAGGCCAGGTTATAAAATACTCGAATATTCTTATCTGGTTGATATGCAGCAACACACGCGTCGAGAGCTGTTAGTAATCCGTCCGTACAACCCCTTCATACACACGTTGCCATCTTATGTATAATGTATATTATACATTGTTTACTTCCATATAATATATACATATTTCTTTTTAAAACATCACTTGTTTCGTAAAAACAATTTTATTCACAAAAAACCATTTCGACATCTCAAACACAATGAATTTTACAATATTTCTTATTAAAGATTATTATTGCATCCTCTGCACACATCTATGACAAACTTTTTGATCAAACTCACCAAAAGCAAACAATGCGATTAAAAAGTTTTATTTATTTTCAACAATTGATAATAATTAAATACAATTTTAACGTTCCTTACAATAATATATTAACAATATTCGACTTATGATCAATTTATAAGTACATTAAGATTCCTTTTTCCTCTTGAACAGATCTGTAAATTTACCGGATTCATAGGTCGGCATAAACGGCAGGTACTGGGTCCATTTGAATCTGCAGAATATATATAATAATGGTCAATTATTTAATTATATGGCTACAACTATACAAATTACATTAAAAATTCATAATTATCTATTAATTATATGATTAATAAACATTACTAACCGTGTAACGAGACTCATTCCTATGGGAAAGTCGTAAGTATTACCGTGGGAGTCGCCACTAGTTTCTAGACTCATCTCCTTCGCCCACGCAGCCAGACCTCTCTCCTCATCAGTGCCTGAGATGTAATTATCACAGACAATAACAACATGAAAATCTGTTCTAGAACTTACAGTCTAATAAATTACAAATCAATTTATGAAGTCATTGATCTCATCAGTGTTTTGATGAGACAAATGAGCTTCAAAATTATTTGCTCTTCATTTTAAAATATAATGCCTTTACTTTTGTATTTAGTTTCAGAGACTTGAAAAGGATTTATAGATAAAATGTACTGCAATATTTATTTCATTCTTTAAACATTTATTATACTTACATTCTCTGTATTTCATATTGAACTATCGACTATTGTACCTATAATCGTATATTGTGTGTTATATTTGATAATAGTTGTCAGGTGACCCAATTTACGAACTCTATTTCTAGGTATAAGGATCGATGAGGCTCTGTATCAGCTTCTATAAGGTCATGTGTATAGGGAGGGGCGCTGCCTTACACGCACCATATAACAACGAAACTAAATAACTATTGTTTTGGAACTTTGAGAAGAATGAGAATGAATGAATGAGAAATTCAGCTATTTATTATTGAACAGTAGAATAAATATTTTGATATGAATTAAGTGTTCTTAAATATTTTAATTTTTATCTATGGCAACTTAGTCTTGTCTGTCTGTCTGTAAATGGTACAATCATTTACGAAACATTTCGAACCTTTTCTAATACTCTTTATGTGTACACAAAGAGGTTTCCTTTTTAAAGATTTCTTTTCAACTTTGAGTCTTTATTTATATGAATCACGTTTTGTAAATATAAATATGATGTGTATATACAGATATAATAAAATACATTCTGTTATATCACAAGCTACCGATATTCAACGTACTTAAACTAAATAAGAAATATTATTCATGACGCAATTTTGAAGTATTTTTTATTTTGTAGGAGATCTTAATTTTTTTTACGCAATAAGTAAATAAAGTTACTAAAGGTCTTCTTTCGTAAATATTAAAATTTAAATCGTCATTTATTATTACTGATGTTTGATGTCCTATTTATTTTTAAATCTTGTTTGCATGCTGCTTTGACACCATGGTAAACCGCATTTGAGATGGGTGTAATAAACCTTATAATTTCTTAAAGACCCCTCTTTGTGACAGTGGCACTGCCTTAGGACATTGCCTTTTCTATAACAAAAAGATATTTTAAAAATCAACCTTAAAGTGATCTTTATATAAAGTCGCTTATAAATTAGCCTAAGTTCTTATGAAACAATAGCCTACTTCTGATGGCATTCGATTGAAATTCCCGTTAAAACGGTGCAGATATTCTAGAGATAAACCGGAACAAACAAGCAGACAATAATTTTAAAAAATTGCATCTTCAATGCCAATTTTCGAAAATGCTATTTTCGATGCAATTGGTATTGCAAAAACCTTTAAATGCGTATAATGAAAAGCGTTAACCGCTTGCAAATACAAACAGACACTTCAATTTCATTTATTAGTACAGATATAAATGGTCTGCATTAACTCGGTTTAAGTTAAAAGAAACAAAAACTTCATTTGAATATTATTTAAACAAATAAAGGTACTTTAACCGAATGCTTGTTGGTATTACAAACCTCTTACTTATATAAAATATTTTATTTTTAGGGATTAATAAGGAGAATTAAGAAGTCAACACCGCTCGAATAAATCTTCTTTCTCTAAACTTAAATTGTTTACATTTAAATACAAATATTTGTTTTTAGACGAAAAATTGCAAATTGAAACAAGAGTAAATATTTTATTTATTATAATGATTTGTGTTATATAAAATCAATCAGTTTATGACATCGCACTTAAAGTTGTTCAAATAATCTAACATCTTATTAACTGAAACTTGACGTAACATCACCTTAGTTTTATCTCCTTATAACAATCATTATAATCACATACAATGCATCCAGTCATCACGTAAATAACTCACACTATAGTCTAACATTTCAATTCCATTTATATTCCAACATTTTATATATCTCTCGTGTTGTATTTTAACATTAATATCACTCACCCCCTTCCATACTAATGTTCATTTATTAATTTCTTTAGAATTCTTACACAACAGATGTACAGTACGTCTAGAACATAACTATGTATATTTTTTCTTCGTGCAGCGAAATGTTATATATAATTTTAATATTGATAAATGTGGGAATATTTCCCTTTTTATGAATATTACAATACTAAGCAGGTTAGTTAGAAGTAGTATGCTAAGTTCATGTAGGCGTCGCCACGCTTTATACTAGGAATTGAAGGTTCTTTATTTATAAATCATCACACACTATAGTATTAACGTAGATTATTCAATGAGAAACGGTAAACGATTTGTATGTAGTGTGAGGATTCTAACTCGGACTAAGCATACAGAGAAACATCGTTGAGTGATTGAAATTTCATTATGATTTGTTGAAAAAAAATGTGTTCTTATAATTATAAGGAACTTAATCATTCAGATATTAAACTTGCAGTTACTACGTCACATACTCGTATGTTGACTGGATAAAGCTGGATAAAACTTTTCCAATCGTCCTATTAATACGTCAGCAAAAGTTCGATGCAGTAATAAGTTATCGAATATATGAAAGATTAATTTTTCTAATATAATAACTGACACAATTCTATCAAATTGAAAACTTTAAGACTAATAATAAACACAGACAGATGAAAATTATGGTAACTGTAAATTTATTCGGCGTCAACACTAGTGAATAACTGTACTGCATAAGTATAAATTAAATTTTTGTCCAGAAAATATTTTGTATAAAACTGAACCACAGAATGAAAGGAATGTATATTAATAGTCACTAGCAAATCTTTCCCGTCATAGAACCCATTGCGTTTCATAAAATTCTTAAACTAATTAGAATTCAAGCTATATGTATGTAATACAAAACGAGTGATTTATGCAAAATAGTACATAATCATTAAAACATTTTGAATTCATAATCTTAGTAATCAATCAATTCAGAATCTAAAATCTAATATCTATAAGGCACATAATTCAATAACTTCAATATATATATACTTTGTTTCGATGATCGTCATTACTGACCTGGTATCAGGTTGTCCAACAAACAACCGACCACTCCTCCCACCAGGATGCTGGTAGATAGTAGTACTTGAAGTACCGCATCAAGAGCCTCTACACCAGTTTGTATGACGCCGCTGTGTTCAGACATCCAACGAGTCAGAACAAGAGGAAAGAACAGACTGAAGCCGATGATGTACAGGTTACGAGAACTGTTCAGGTTCACGTACTGGAGAGCTGATAGACCTGACGATAAGTGACGAATGAAAAATAGCACTAACCGATATAGAATATACACTATAGAAATAAAACTAAAATAATTCTTATAGGAATATAAATAGGAAATACACGGTTTAAGTCCATATTAAAATTAGTTTTTTGTACTAATAATACGTGTATATATGTAATATATGAAACAAATATATAAAAAAAACCGCTGAGTTTCTTTCGCCGGTTCTTCTCAGGTCAGGGTATTTTCTTTTCCGAACCGGCGGTAGTGTCTCAAGTGACCATCAATAAGAAAGTGTAATGCTTGTATATTGAATAAAGTTATTTGAGTTTTGCAACATTAGAGGTAGTATGTATGCAATATTGAATTTTTAGAAAATATATTTTTTAAGATTAAGTATGGAGGGATTCCGAAATTTGGAAGCAGTTCCCATACCAAATGCGGAAATCATTCCAAACATGACACAGAAGAGTCCACCGACGATAGGCTGCGGTATGATGATGAAGACGGCTCCGAGTTTACCCACGACACCCTGCACCACCATCAGACCAGCCGCCCACTGCACCACGCGACGAGAACCTACCTGGATAACATATAACAGTTCCCAGTTTAATACTTTCCGAATAAAGTAATGAATAGCAGAATAAAGTAATGAAAAACATTTTGTGACATTCTAATTCATAAATAAGAGACAACTTGGTTCATCCCCAAGCTTTATATTTAAAAGCTAAAATTTTAAAGTAAGACAATATGATAATTTGGAAAGCTATGGAGTTGAATATTCTTAAAAAAAATATCCAGTGTTAAGTTATATCCACTCAAAGTTTACGTACTTCGTTACTTCCCATATAGTTATACATAACAACTGTTCCACTACACTAGTAAAACATAAGGTCTATCTCATTATGGTCCGACCATTTCCCTTTGATTGTTGAATGCTGAAGAAGTTGGATTATATAGAAAAGAATGTAATGATAGGTTAAGTCAAATACAATTCCCAGAAGAGCTTCATAACTGTTGTGACCGCTCTTGTAATGATTCCATGCACAAGGATGTTGTGACAAGGCTGTACAGTGACATAGTTAAGGCTTTAGTGGAGGCCTCCGTGGTGGGTCGTAAGTGTAAGAGGCGTATAGTAAGAAAGAAGGTTATAGGCTGGAATAGACATGTTGCTGAAGCGCACGGGAGGGCAAGGCAAAAATTTGAAATTTGGTTGTTGTTCGGAAAACCAACTCATGGCTGTATTTATGAGGAAATGTGTGAGGCAAGAAAAATTTTCAAATCGCGTTTAAAATGGTGTCAAAACCATCAAGAACAAATCAAAATGGATATTCTAGCCACACATCACTCCAAAAAACGATTTTCGCGGTTTTTGGAAGCACACTAATAAATTGAATACAAAGCCTTCTCTTCCTGTGAGCATCAATGGTATGTCTGAGCCTGACAAAATTTCTAATCTCTTTGTGGACCATTTTTTCATCAAATCACCGTGTGGACTTTCAAAGTCGATGCTGAATGTGTTGAGACCAACATGAAAATGAGGATACAATTCGAAAGTAAAAATATTGCACAAACTATTAAACGCATGACCAGAGGTAAATCCGCGGGTCATGATGGTCTTAGCATTGAGCATCTTCAATACGCTGGACCACACCTTTCTAGAGTTCTATCTATGTTCTTCAATTTTTGTGTAAGCCACAGTTTTATGCCGTGTGATATGATACGATCTATAGTTGTACCAATAGTAAAGAACAAAACAGGTAACATATCTGATGTAAATAACTATAGGCCTATCACGCTGGCTTCTGTTCTGTCCAAGGTATTTGACAGTATGCTTAATAAAGAATTAAATACTTTATTAACACCTCATGACAACCAGTTCGGGTTTCGACCGGGACTGTCTACAGAGAATGCTATACTCGGTCTTAAGCATACTGTCGGCTACTACACTAAACGTAAGACCCCCATTTACGCTTGTTTTTTGGATTTGTCCAAGGCGTTTGACCTGGTTTCTTATGATATTCTATGGGAAAAGATGGATAAAGTTCATATACCACCTGAACTTATCAACATATTTAAATACTGGTATAAGAACCAGGTCAACAACGTCAGATGGGCAGGAACTCTATCGCGTGCATATGGGTTGGAGTGCGGGGTGAGGCAGGGGGGGTTAAGCTCACCAACGCTCTTCAACCTGTATGTGAACGATTTGATCGGGGAGCTCAGCAGTGCCAGGGTCGGCTGTTACGTGGATAATGTTTGTGTAAATATATTAGTTACGCTGATGACATGGTACTGCTGAGCGCATCGATTTGCGGTCTTAGGAAGCTGATGGCCATATGTGAGGCATATGTAGAAAAACATGGATTGATATTCAATGTCAAAAAGAGTGTGATGATGATCTTTGAGGCCGAAGGTAAAATAGAGAGAACAATACCACCCATTGTGCTCAATGGCACTAGTCTGGTAAGGGTATATACATTCAAATATTTAGGACACATCTTGACACCCGATCTCAAGGATGACACTGACATCGAGAGGGAACGGAGGGCGTTGTCTGTACGGGCGAATATGTTGGCCCGCAGATTTGTACGTTGTTCGAGAGAAGTTAAGCTTACACTGTTTAGAGCCTATTGTACCACCTTCTATACGTGCAATCTGTGGGCCAAATACTCTCAAAAGTCGTATAACGCTCTCCGGGTCCAATATAACAATGCCTTTAGAGTGCTGATGGGATTGCCCCGCCATTGTAGTGCATCAGGGATGTTCGCGGCAGCGAGGGTCGATTGCTTTTATGCCATTATACGCAAAAGATGGATGGATCCTTGGTGTACCGATTGCGGGATAGTCCCAACAGCATCATGAAGGCAATTGCTAGCAGGTTAGACTGTAATTATGTTAGTCATTGCTGTGCTATCTCGAGCGGATTAGTTCAGCAATTACTACCATGATTACAAGTTTAGTGATAGTTTTTTATTTTTATTTTATTTTTATTTTTGTTTAATTAATTTATTATACTAACATAGGAGATAAGAAAAATGTATTACTAACAATAATATGAGTCATAGTCACTTGAAATAAAGTTATTATTATTATTATTATTATATTATTACCTTGGTAACGCCAATAGCTCCAACGTTCTCTCCGAACGTGTTCGTTCCGTTCCCGGAGCCCCATAGTCCAGCCAGCATGGTTCCCAGGCCTTCCGTGCCAAGACCACGGTTGATAGCATGCAAAGGAGGAGGGGGCGCCGCTAGAATACAAATATCTTGTAAAAATCGGTATACTTGACATGTTTTCAGAGTTTATATGGAATAAGCGACTTGGTAAGGTGTGTTTGAAGATCGAGATCTCCAGATCTAAACTCCAGTCCAAAAAATTTAAATGATTTTTTTTGTTATTTTTAGTGCTTTGTGATTTTGGAAGAAGAAGTGTAAGTATGACGTTTGATAATATACTAACCACACATTCTGGCTGTTGTGGGATAATAACTGATGGACTCCACAGTACAGGCGAGTACTCCAGCCAACATACCCAATACACCAGCCACACTCACTGTCGGTGCACCCCACTGACCTGAATATAAAAGAAACAATATTATAAAGGAAAATAATTAGATAGTGATAGACCAAATATAGACAAAGGACTAGGTATGTATGTATGGAAAAATGCACAATTATCAAAAGAAAGACATACTTAAAGCCCATCAAGAACAAGTAACTATATATGTTATACTAAATAGGCAGATCCTGGCTAAAGCTGGGACATTGCCAGGAAGAAGAAGAAGATATGTTATACTTCATCATCATCATCATCAGCTGAAAGACTTATATATGTTATACTTATATTAAATTAATAAATTAGTGTTCATATCTATGATTCAAAAACGAATTTAATAGTGTTTTAGGCATGTATTTGTAGTATCATGTTATTTTGTTACCTGGATACGGGACTCTGAACCACGGAGCGTCTTCTATGATGTTCAGCTTGAGGTCCGTCCTGGCTGGATGACCCCCGGGGAAGACGTTGGTAGCAGTCAGCACGCCGCACACCACCCACATTATAACAATAGTTAATAACACCTTCGAAATAAAAATACATTGGAAAAGTTACTTTAACAGTTTACAGATACTTAACTTAGTTATTTAAATGAAACTAATATTTTCCGGATTATACTACGTGACTTTTTTGATAAAAAACTACATGCTCCCGAAGTTTCAGCTACTTTTCAGTAACCGTGATCACGGACAGACGAGATAATAATCCGAAAAATATTAGTTCCATTTAATTGAATAAAACTTTATACATTATATGAACCAGTTACTTTAGTAAACAATATTGGTCCTTTCGTAAAGAACTTTTTCAATATTCCAGCTACAAAAAAGTATCTAAGTGTGGTATTTGATATTAGTTATAACAAATGAGTCCTATTTTGCTTAAAAAAACCTTCAAAAACTCTTAATTTCTGTGTGAATCAACAGTGTGCGTTTACACTTAGCTTTGATCTCTTTTCAGTAACAATGTTAGGAGGTGAGTTAGTATTACTAACAGGAAACAGCTTGAACAGTGGAAACCATATCATAGTGAAGCCGCTCGCTCGCTTCCACGTCAACGTCGGTATCCGGACTTCGCTCATGCATTGTGAGAATATAGTCAGCAACGTAAAAGTTCTGAAACAAACGGGTTTTTAGATCCATTCAATAATTCAATAAAATACTATTTATATAACAAGTTATTGAGAATGGAGCTATGTTTTAATATATACATGCCTATCAATGGTTGTGTTCAATTCCATTTTATAAAGAAAGAGAATTTCATTGAGCCTAAATTAATTTTAGAAGTGATCCAATTAGGTTCATTATACAAACACTTTCCCAGTTGACCATACAGTCTAGATGAGTGGTTCTCACGAGGGAGTGTTTTGCGTACTCGCGTAGTCATGTAGTTAAAAATTATAATTATTTGTTTAGGTGTAAATGATTTAAAATCTTTTTAGACTCACTTCATATAGTAAATTCAAATAAAAAGTACAAATGATTGACCCTATCGGCTTTGTTAAATAGTATATCATTATCAAATGTTTAATTAAATGTTTAATTAAAATTGTATATCAATATCAAATGTTTAATTAATAAGTTATGAATCTGTATGCAAGAGTAATTATTATACAGAGAATTATTCATCTAGCTTACAGACTGTTTCACAAAATCCATCTTTATCTCAAAGCCCGCCTGCTCTTCATTTGAATTGCATTCATGCAAACATTATGTTATTTAACAAGCGACCCAATTCTTGCACGGATTTATTTATAGTAATTTCAAAATGACAATTTTTACTTTATTTTTAATAGGTTTAATTTGTGACATATTGATGACAAGATGTATGCCCGAAAGCAGTTTTAAACTTAATTATATTCATTTTTTTTAAAGTAGCTTCTACTTTCGTTTACAAGTAAAATATTCCTAACATTCTTCCATTACTATGAACCATGATATTTTGTTAGTATATACATATATCACGTTTCTATACCAACTCTTTATGTCCACTCTAACATCACTCAAATCGAATTCACGTGGAAAGCAATTTGAATGTCGCTATAACTTTAAGACGTCCTTTCTGTCATTCGAGAAAACTAATTTATACTTTCTCAAATCGCAGATATATGTCGAGCAGACAATTGAATTGGATTGTCAAGAAGTTTAACGAAATCATAAAAGTTATAAATTCTTATTACATTGTTACATAGAACAAAAAGACGAAAACAATTTTATATCTGCACTGACATAATATGTTTAAGTAATCTAGAATATATTATAAATGAGCAAACATAAAACATTTATCTCGAATTGGCACAGAAACAGCAAAATATAGGTGACACTCCATCTCTATCACACGAGTTAATGAACACGTACGTGTGATAGAGATGCTGAGATTTAAATGTGGTTTATTTATTAACAGGTCGTGTCAACGTCCGGCTGCATTCGTGTGATGCAGATGAATCGATAGAGCACTTGTTGAGCGACCCGGTCGTCATGGCAACGGCCCCAGCATCCAGGCCTCACGCCCGCGGCATAGATGCTATAACGAGATGATTGATCTATCTGATAGGGGACCTACATGTACATTAACCGTTCAATATCATCATAAATCTATACTATACTAGTACTTTGTTCTAATAATGTATATATGTAATATTATAGCTCCTGTCAGTAAAGTAAGTTTGTTAGATTGTATTAGTTTATCTTAAGCTCGTTCCGCTTAGTGTCGGAAAGTTTTGACAACGTCGAAGCATCGAAGTCAGACGTTCGATGAGTTAGTTGACGCAGCCTTAAGGCTTTACGAGTTACGAGCTACGGTGGAAATAAATATACTTTAATGAGGGCTGTACAATGTATTATATAATTCAGGTCAATATTTTTTTTGTAAAAAAGTGACTTTTATTAAATCAATCATATATGTGTCTGTCTTTTCTACATGACTAAATGACACGATAATTGATACGACTAATTTCTATACAATATGATCATTTAGTTGAACGATTATATATACATTTTATTTAAATAGATTTTTTTACTTTGTGTGCGTGGGTGTGTGTGTGTGTGTGTGTGTGTGTGTTGGGCTATATACCTATATATTTTTTTGCTTGACAGCGTAAATGTTTGAATGACCTAAACAGAGTGACCTTTGACCTGTTAAATATTAGGATACTTTAGGTTAAAGTACTATAGAAAACAGGGACGACTTCTCGCAGAATGTTAATATATGAAACAAGTGATTGTTGTGACAGTTTAGTATATACATATTATGTATGTCCGCGTATTCGATGTTGTTACTTGTTACACCATTAATGATTGATTAGACTTTTATTAGAATAAGAAAATAATGTGATGTTTGAAATTGTACTGACCTCAGTCATTTAGTAGATATACGATTTATATGTATTATATTTATATTAAAAAATATTTATTATATAAATTATAAAAGTATAAGAACATGTGGAATTTTTTTGTTCTTACGTTTACATAAAAGGTTGGATAAAGCATTATTTAAAATTAGTATACACTTATGTAGAAGACAATTTTAAGAGATATTTAGAAAAGACGGAGTTTCTAACATAAAACAAATATTATAATAAAATTTATATGAAAATTGTATTCTATGAAGTATATAAAAGATATGCTGTTAGATAATTTTTGTTTTTTTTTTCAAAATGTATTACATTACTTCTTTACATAATTTTTCGAGACGCTTTCCTATTTATCTCAGTAAGTGGCTATAAGATAATAGTATCGAACACAGCTTCATTATAAACAGAAGATTACTTTCGCTTAAGTTATTTTAACATTTTAAAGTAACTTTGGAAACATTGGATATTCTCCTAAGGACTATATTTTACTAGTATACAAATACAAAAGGATAAAAGCTTACCAGAAATGTCCACTACAAATATTAATATGGATAAACACTATTAAATTTATGTATTTCATCATTTATAATCTAAGACACCACCATTAATTAAAACTAAAAACTCGATTTTTAAATTTGGTTATTGTTATTACTCATATAAGTATAATTTTTTTTTATAATAACGTAATGAAGCAATGAATAGGTTTATCATTAATTAACCATACCTACATGTGTGTCAATAGGATCATTAAACTTTCATGCGTTACCAAAAACTGTGTAATATGAATCTGTTAAGGATCGATCGTATGCCAGTGACCTTTGACCTTATAACACACGCCCACAACACTTACCTACGACTAGTCTCACTCCGTTGATGTTAACCCGACAGAATTATTATTCAATGTTAAGCAATTATTATGCACCATTAAAACTTAGAAACATCGCTTCTGATTAATTTATATGAAATCATAATTAAATATATAATATTTTAATTATAAAAATGTTATTTAATATGTTAAAATAGTTTGTCTGAAAACATATTAGTGAGAAATAACTGATAATAGATCAAATAATTGAATTGATTCGTGTTATTGTTGTTTTCAAACCGTTGTTGTTTGTTAAATGGCAAAGGTGAGTTAAATATCAAGACAACAAAATGTTCCTCATTTTCAATTCTGCCCGAGGCCTAACATAATATATACATTAAGTACTCTGAGAGATTGGGAAATATATGTAACATTAACAAATATACAACAGAGAGCTCTTACAAGGATGTCTTTGAAGAAAAGAAAAGAATATATACATTTTATTTCTTTTCAAGTTTTTATAGATATAACAATGAACCTGTTTCAAAAGTACTAGCAAGCATAATAAAAACCTTAACAAAATTCAGACTCACGACATTTTTGAACGAAATATAATATTGCTATTATTATAATTAAATACTGAACAATTAAGCGGCATCGTGTAGTCAGCTGTAATGGGTTGTTAAAAACTTGGATTGACGGGATTGTGTTTCGGAATTAACGATGGATTTTCGAAGGCTTTCATTTTATACAACAAACAAGTCTGTCAAATATTATACTGCTAAAATAATGTACTTTTTCGTTCGTAACTTAATGAGACAATTTTAATTATTAGGGTCAAATAAGACTTACAATTCCAAAGTTAACAAAACAAATATGTTTATTTGTAATAAGATGCCTCCTAGGAGTCGTTTCTTTGTAAAAATTAGTTAGATTAATCCCGTGAGTACAGAACTACACAATCAAGACTCTCTGCTTCTTTTATTGCATAAAATAATTAAAAATATCTACTGAAACATTGAAGAATTACATTCTTTTATAATAAAAAGCAGATATTTTATTTTTACTACAAAACTATATTTTATTTAAAATTGTGACGAAATTTCTGTTAGTTATTTTATTATGGAGTAATGCGGTCGGACATTACATATATCTACTATGGTTGTGGTTTTATAACAGTGGGGTGTAGCTAGTAATTTATAAGTGGATTGTTTATGACACTAATAAAGACAGAGTCACGTATTATATTTTATATACAGTTTCATATGTGAATTACTATGCTTCTATTAAAACCAAATTAATAAAAGAATTACATATGGAAACAGATGAACATAAATATTTTATATTTAATTATTACATAGTATGTTTATATTACTAAAGTGCTTGATTCGACAGTGTTCAATTATTTGGAGACAACATTTTATTTGTTCCTATGATAAAAGGGATTGTAATGTTCATAAATAAAATGTAAAAAGTCTAACTTTTCTGCTGGTTCTTGTAACCTCTCTTTCTGTTTCTGCTTTATGATTACGTAAACATATGTTTAACAAACTTCTTTGAGTTTGAGTTAATATAAAATTAATAATATCAGTTGAATTAAAACTACTTCTAGCACCATCCGGTCTGAGTTATATAATTTTACAAAATCTATAATTGTTAAAAGTACAAATTATACTTTACTATTTATAATTTCTATTATAAGAGATACATAAAAGTTAAATTTTGTTAAACCAAAGTAGATTTCTCGTGAAAGAGTGTTAAATATCTACACATACACTTCAACTATAGACTGAGAACTATATGAGAATGAATCTTAATGAAGTGACTTCTATATATACTTACCCAGCGGCGATGCCCCACTGCTGGGAAGCAGCGCTGGCCGCGTGGTCGAATAATGTAAGTCCCACTAACGCTACCGTGGGCGCTATAGTGAGAGGAGTCACGAACCGCAGTAAGGAACCGATGATGCCGAAGTAACCTGATGATGAAGTAGTAACAAACATTAAAACGCATTTTCATTACAGCTTACTTTGAAGATTAAGAAAAATGCTCTAAAGTATCTCATTGTTTTAAAGTATTTTGTTTCCAAATAATCTATTACATACTAATAGTTATATACGACATTTATTATTGGTTAAAAAAAAGATTTAGTAAGACAAAATCTAATCTTTCTTCGTTTTTAATAAACCGACCTAATTAATGTACTTGGCCTCGTACCAGGGATCGTTATTAAGTCGGAATTACAGCACAGCTTACAAAGAATTCTTCATACATACAGCTTAAAATAACATTTTCGGTATCTATCTTGATAACATAAGACTTTTTATAAAGAAAATTATTTCGTAATATAAAACATTCATTTTGATTTGAACTCCATAAAAAGGTAGAATGGAAAAAATGCTACATTTTATTAAAACTGAAATTGCATACGCTTATATTTAAATAAGCACTGCAAACATTAAAAACTAACAAAAGTTTTGTACAGTTAACTGAGAAGTTTGAGTTAATACACAGTCTGCTATTTAAGGTTTCAAATAGAAGTATTATAAAGTTAAAATTAGTACTAAACAAGTAAACCGACTTCTGAGAGAGGAGGTTTCACAAAGAGCTTTGTATTACAATCAATTAAAGCTACTACAACTTCTGAGATTTAACACGGACTAATGATTTTGAACTTTGAACAATGAGTTATTTAATAATTTACAAGGTTTATTGAAACCTTTGGAATAGCTCAATAGTTTTACAAAACATAAAGATATTATTTGTAACTTTGTTTGTAATACAATACTAAACTCACAAGTTACTCTGTTTACTGTAACTTTGTTAAATGAAATAATTAGGATCAGCTGCAGTAGACATCTCATACAGTCGTTGATTTCATATCAGAATTATTATTACTCGATTCAGTTAGATGGACCAACGAAATCATAAGCTCCGTGTGTTTGCATTTCTTTAAAAACTTTTATATTTTTTTCGTCATCAGCCTACCAGAGCCCACTGCTGACCAAATCTTCTTTCTCAAGGAGAAGATTTTGAGCATTAATCACTCAAGACGGGTTGGTGATTTCAAACTTATAAATTAAAATTATAAGTCCAAGTTTCCTCACGATGTTTTCCTTCACCGTCTGTTAGTGGTGTCTAAATATTCTTAGAAAGTACATATGACTCGGAAAAGTCACATTGGTACTTGCCAGGATCGAACAGAAACCCTCATGCACGAGAGGCGGGCCTTTTAACCAGTAGGCCATCATTGACTAAAATATTCATATATATTTCTTTAATATGTACAATTTCTTCACACAAAATGTATGAAAATTAATTAACTACGAGTACCTATAACTACAATAGAACTAAGATTTTTGTATATTTCGGATACTACTATTTTTTTTCATTTCGTCTCCAAGTGATCAAGTTAATAGTTTTTAAATTATAATGAAACACGTACTATATCTGGAAAACTTAGTTTTATTGAAGTGAATACTCACAAAATTCTTAGACATCATTATGTGAACCAGTACAGATTGGAAATCGCTTCCAAATTTAAAACTCAAACATATTTTTTTCATAAAGTTCGACTGGCCGACCTTTAACTATTATTCAATTAATTGGTAAGCGGAAATAACGCCACAGGTGTTATAGATATACATAGATCAGTCAGGCTGTGATTGAGATAGTGCTTATTTCGTTTTAGTGCGATTCTCTCCAGTCAAAAACATACCATTAATTTTTATAGAAAGAAACATAGACGCAGGAAAAAAATTTCCCTACTTTGCTGTACGCATGAAGAAGAAGGAAACGTATATAAGATTAACATCCAAAGAATAGTGGCACGTCGTGTACCTGGTTGTTCGGTTATAAAAGGGGAGTTAAAGTGTTAATTGGGATGTGCCGTGGAACTCAGAATCGTGGTCTACTTTATACATACGTGTGCTCCCGCTGACTAGATTATTAATATTCATCTCACCCCCAAAGACTTGGAACAACGCCGAGACAGCGATAGCTCCTGACAATTCGCACATTCTGGTTGTCCACACGAGCCGTCTCTCGTCATCCGTCATCGCTGAGAGGGTTGCGGGGTCTGGACACTTCCAAGTCGGCAGGCCGAGGATAGCCAGGGTTGGCACCAGGAATGATATAGTACCACCCTGCACGATGGGCAGGCGACATCCAAACGTCGCTTGAAACCAGGTCACTAACCCTGTTTGTATAATATAAACTTTAATAAACTTATTACCAATTAAATGACTCTTACTATTCTGAAACAACACTAAGGAAAAACTAGTTGTGACATGGTTTTTTTCATTTAGTTTGAGATAGTTCATTTTCAAAGACTTTGGGTCGAAGGCAGCGGGCTTATGCTCGCGACCTGCCTCCCCAGTGAGGAAGCCTCCGGGCGTCGATGGGGAACCGGCGTCCGGGTAACATAGGCTAGAGGAAGAGCGGCGTGTTTGGCGTTCCCGGCACGCTGCTCTTGAGTCGGAGGGGTGGTGTGGTCAGCCACTGATACCCCTGCCGATGGCGGAGTCCCTTTCGGGACTTGTGCGTAGTGAGCGGAAGTATGGCTTGCCGTTCCCGCTCACTAGCCTACGCACAGCGCAGAGAACGTCGAGGTGGTTTAGTGGGTGGAAATCCCACATGCCCCTGTCGCGTTTCCCCCGCGGCAGGTAGTCTTTAAAAGATTCCCCTCGTAGAAAAAAAAAAAAAAAAAAAAAAAAAAAAAATTTCAAAGACTTAAATGTAGTAAATACATTGAAACATTGAAGGCTACAGGTTTTGTAATAAAATATTTTAACTACTTTTTCAGAATTCACGATAATTATTGAATGTTTAATGTAAAGAACTATTACTTTTTTTTTCTCTATAAATATTAGTATGGTAATTTAACACAAACAATACGCCTGAATACAGACTATATTCAAACGACAAGCACTAGTATTTGTAGACAAGGAACAATATGAGGAAAGTTTATCGTCGTTTTACTGTTTATTGTTACCTAATTTAGAGGTCCTAATCATAGGGGGTGTAACTCAGTGGTAGAGTGTCTGCTTCGCATGCTGAAAGTCCTGGGTTCAAATCCCAGCACCTCCACAACAAACTATTTTTTGTTGTCAGTTTTATTTCTTAATATTTTCACATTCATTTTTCCATTGAGTAGAGGTAATAAGACAAATAAATGTATATTTGTTTGTTATAACAATCATCGCTTAAACACACAGTCTATTACAACATCATCACTTTCACTAACAACAGTTCAAATATGAATGTCTCACTTAATAATAGTGATAATACACTGTGACGTGTGCCAATGAAAACAAACTATTGTTAAATAAACACTTCTTTTTATAATGTGAGTGATTTTAAATAGCGACTTATTTATTCCGAGGTCATATAACACAATACGCGTACTTAATTCTAGCTTTTATAAGTCAACTTCAAAAAGTATCAAAATTTATTTTTAGGTTCATTCCTAAGCCCTTTATGACTTGATGTTCACGGTTTTTCTTTTTTGTAAAATATGAAATATCTGAAGAGTAATTTTCTAATAAGGGAACTAGGATTTAACAAGGATATCTTAAATAAATCTAGGGAAACCATAGAAAATTGTAGCTCATTTTAACAACTCTAAACAGTTTAAATTTCGGTATTTTAAACTACCTCCGTCTCAAATTTCATTCAATTCAGACTGCTTTACTACTGTGCAAATACAGGCAGTATTTCCTCATGGTTCGCCGTTGCGTCATTCGAGAAAAATCCTTATCAGACGTCATCACTTACGATCATAAAACAAAATAATTTCAAACAAAGACAACAAGAAATGTAAAAGCCATAATAATAAATTTACTTCTTACATAGTAATAGGTTCTGTGATGTCGTTAACTATAAAATATTACATTATTTTAAAGTCAGTGCCAACTGAGAGAATTACTTTAAACTATGGTTTCCTTCCTAAATCGGATTTTTTATCGCATGTTACGTACGGGCAACATATTAAAAAATAAATGAGCATCGCCGGGGTAACAACGTTGTATGGATAAAATATCATATAACGAGTGACGCTGCTGACTCCGCGGAACGAACACCGAGCCGTGTGAACCAGGAGATTCCTGATACCATACAAGCAATCATGTAGTCTTAGGTATAGGCAGTGGCGGCTGTACCTTAAGTGCACTCGTGCACTGAACCACCAATTCAAAAGATTTAAAAATTACCAATTATTACTTCATCTTTATTTTTAAATTACCATTTTAATATTAATTTTTTAAACATATAAAAACGTAAATTTCCTAATTATTTTCAAAAAGTTTGAGCACTTTACTAAACTCATATCGTGCGCTTCGGCGAGTGCACGAGGACTGCTAATACATCTTGTATGGGATACGAGTTAATACGCCTGACGCGTGAAACAAAAGATAGTTCATAGAAATGTACCGAGTAATGAGTCGGTTCTCGAGCGCCGCACGAGCGGCCGAAGATTACCGAGAGCACCCGATGTATGACGAATTGAGACGTGATTGACATCTCGTTATATTTTGTTGCATTTTCTAATTTTAATATTTTAGTAAAGTGCACCACCGGTTCGATTACCCACCGGCCGCCACTGGGTATAGGTTATAAGTTTTAATATGTAATTCTCATTATAATATAAGTTTGTTTCATAGTTTTTCTGGAACCTCCGGTTGCCACCCTACATAATTCGCTCGTAACTCACAACATTATATATTTAAATGTATATAAAACAATTTTCTTATCTTCTAACTCTGTTGGTGTTTCGGGAAATTGCTTTGTTTAAATTAAACCTAAATTTTTGTAACGATAATACAATGTTTAAACAAAACCATTATCAAACAACGTTGCTGTTATTTACGTTCAAGATTATCCGATTACGAGTTTTAAATGAAAACATTAAAATAGAAATATTCTAATATAAGTTTTGAGATAAACTTAAAAGCAAATAAGATAATAATATACCATATATAAGATAAAAACTATGATGTTTTAATAATCACACTAATAACCAAATATAAGGATTTATTCATAACGCGTAACGAATAAACTTTAATAAAAGGAACGTCAATAGAGATAAAAAACATTTAATAATATTAATTCAATCATTATTGTCCCTACTTAATATTATAAATGCGCAAATAACTCCGTCTGTCTATCTATTACGCTTTCACGCCTAAACCACTGAACTGATTTTAATGAAATTTGAGGCAGAGGGAGAGTTGGCCTTGAGAAAGAACATAGGATAAATTTTATCGCAGACTTTTGAAAAGTTTTCTTGGAAACGCGATATAACCGAACTCGACGCCGACGAACCCGCGAGCGGAAAGCTAGTATAAAAGAAAAAGTTAATTTTTTGAAAAAATATATTCTACTACGAAAAGTTATAGCATTACCTGTTTAATTTTTAAATTAATTACATTTGATGTAATTAGGAACTCTGTTAGGTATATACTATATATGATGATAATCATGAGATTAACATGTGATTATTATCTAACGTGGTAACATCGATAACAGAGAATTTACTCGTACAATTATGAGATTTATTGTAATCCTAACACGACTCTTCTTAACTGCTTTTAGTTTCAAAGTCATTGTACACTGTCAAGGCGGAAATTTTTATCAATGACGAGAGTCAAGCAGTATATGTATGTATAGCTCGTGTTAACACAAATCATATGAGTGTTAATAAATATCATAAACACGTATAGTATGGTCGTCATATATTTGTAGATATATAGTATTTATTTTCAGCAATTTATTTCAAAGATTTTATCATAAACTAGCTTTTGCCCGCGGCTTTGTCCGCGTTAGGTTTTCGATTAGTAATGTATAGCTAAAAAGGCAAACTGTTTCGATATAGGGGCAGTGAATAAACGGATTTTGGATTATACAAGCAATTTTTTTTGGTCGAACGAAACCAAAAGTATCCTATATCCGTCTCCTGATTCCAATCTACCTCTCCATTAATTTCCAACCAAATCTCTACAGCCATTCTTGAATTATTAATAGTGTAATTAAGACAACTTTCTTTTGTATATACATATAATAAAGATTATGACTAAATACAAATTTTCAAACTAAACAATCGCAGGAGAATTATTTGTCGTAGATTTGAGACCAAACTTTTTTAGTATGGACAATAAGTATTCCTTTCCCTACCCACCATGATAATGATATATACATATGTATATAAAAAGTAAAATACATTTGAATCAATAGATTTTAAAGATAGCCTTTCCTGCTAAGGGCTGGCATTCGTTTTTATAAAGAGGAACTCTTACATGTATATAGTGCACAAAAATATGTGAAACATAATCACCAGTGACGAATATCATAGTGGAGATGATGTTGGATCTGTCAGGGTCTGTCTCCTGCATGCACAGCGCCGGGCACAGGATGAAAGGGATCGCGACTATGGCGCCGATCATAGTGAGGTAGTGCTGGAAGAAACAGATATTACAAAACTACACCTAATACTGTTACTGTTGGTAATATTTTGCAAATGAGTAACACACACACACAATAAACCAATAAAAATCTTGAATTCGATTTTGTAATCCAATGATTATTATGATATCTGTTCGTCCAGATGAGTGCAGGTATATATTCTATATATAATGTTAATATACATACCTGTAGAGCCATGAATATACATAAATACCAGGGCGGTACATCATCAATGCCGTACGTCACGTTCCCTTTTCTCTCTTCCTTTGGTTGGCTCTGGGCATTCTCAGGATTCTGAATATGAAAAAAAGAAACAAAACACTTAAGTACGTCAGTATTGAAATGTTCTTAAAAAAGACAAAAAATATTTCTAAAGATACAATTCCCTTTAATTTCTAATATTAATGTAAATTTCAGTTATTTTCTGTATAGCAAAATTGTTTAGTATTATGGAATAAGCATACGGGCCTTTCAGAAGCAATTTGGGGCCTACTACATTAGTAAACGGCGATAGAATATCTTGATTAATTGGTGGATGGGTAGAATTAACCTTGCCGATTTTCTTCTTAGCCTTCAGATTTCTTTACAGATGATAAATACTTTTAATTTAAAATATATACAATATTGTGACATTCTTAAAACTGCTAACAGTATACACAGACTGTATAGATAGTTCGTAACTATGAATAAATAAACCATTAAAAATAATGTAAAAATACTGCAGGCGATATTAAGGTATAAAGTGAATATATTAAAAGAGAAAAGAAATATTCAAGGAAATAATTATTCTTAATATTGTAATTAAAGTATAATAGAGGATAGCTTTTATATATGAGTGTACCTTGAATACAAACTATTACTTTAAATATTTTTACATATATGACTAACGTTTTTTTTAATTAAAATAACACTTAAATTTGTTAAAATTATATTGAAAATTTTCTATGAAATGTAGCTATGCACAAATATTTTAATATTGCTTTTAAATGTAAATCTTTTGTTCTGTAATTATTTCATGTTTCTATGAACGTTTATTATGTATATGTACATGTGTCGTCCGGAGTTAAATTAAATATGAATGTATAGAAAATATTTAAAATTTTTAAATGATTCAACTGACAAAAAGTCTTCCAGTTCTCCATTTAAAACTGACTGAAAAAACGATTTAAAGATTTTAGTAAAATTGTGGAAGTAACATTAATGTTTTCACATTAGCATGCACATCGCTCCAACTACATGACATACCTTTCATATATACAAACTCCGTACAGACTCATTTGGAATACTCTTTACTGTTATCAAATATAAAAATATTTGCAAATACAGTTTACCTGGATTATTAAAGAAACTCATAGCTTTGACTTTTACACATGGTGTCTCATAAGTAATATGTATGTTCATATGTGAGATTTGTTCATAAGTGTTCATATGTAAAAATTCCTTATGAATTTGTACAGTTAATAAGATTTGGCGTAATCGTTTTGATAGTGAAAATACGACGGTTGAAAATAGTTATTAGGGAAACAGTAGAAAAACAACATAGTACCAGCACGCGTCTGTAATCACTTTCTTAGAATATTTATAATTACAATACAAAAGCATTTAAAATCTTTAGGTAGGATTTATAAAACTACTCGATTATTGCTACACGAATTAACAAAGATGACAAAGAAACGAACAATGCAGATGTAGAAAGTGTTCCTTGACCTGACGAAAAATTATCGTTTTCTAAAAAAAATTATTTATATAAAACTCCACAAATGGGAAATGGCTACTTTAACAGAAGAATGTACAAAACCGGATACACATAAACAGTGGAAAGTCTTGTTGTGTTTCTGATGATACCATGAAGGTTTAATATACTTGGGAATGATTCCAGGTTGTATTTTCAATGGTATTCTATGGTAGAAATATCCAGGAGTAGTTAATAGAAACGGGTTCTAATATAACAAGACAATGCAAGTAAGTATTTCAGCGAAGTTATGCAGAGTAGGGTCGAAGAACTTGGTGGTATTGAACGACAGACGACTACAACATTCCGCATAAATCCAAACATTCTACTAATACATTACTGTTTATTTTGATCCACGTTAAATTCTCTTGTAGAAAAAAAATTGAATTTAAAGGCGATGTTGAAAATGCAGTGTGACAATTTTTTTAATCTAAATCTGAAATTTGACCCAGGAGCCAGGACTAAAAGTGAAAAGAGGAAAAAGAAAGGAAGGAAGAGGAAAAAACTCTTTTTACGGCTCAAAAAATGTGTTTTCCTGCGTAATCAAAAAAAAAACAAAGGACTAAAAGTGATGGCTGAACGTGGGGAAAAAATATAAAATACGATGATTAAAACTTTTAACATTAAGACTGTCATTGTGTTATTATTTAATAAAAAAAAGTGAACAATGGAAACTAAAATTATTTATGGAACACTACAAAATTTGTATATTTAATAAACTCCGAGGTCTTTGCCAGGACCGGCCAGTCGCTAGTGTACCCTGTCGCTGACAGATCCGGGGTACACCGACATAGCGGCCGATGGCTTTCGCAGTGGTTTTAGTGGTGTATATCTAATAAAATTTTATTTTCATTTTTAAAATATTAATATATTTTTACTTTAAATTGATACTACACTGATGGTTTATTAATTTTTAGTATTGGCACATCAATTATATGATAAATTATTTAACATCTGCAATACGATACAATGTTCCGGTTTAACGACAAAAAGTTAGGAAGCGATTAAATAATATTATATTAAAGTGTATTAATTTACATACGTGTCAAATATATAGATAAAAATAAAAAAGAGCACTTCAAATTTCAATACATAAAATAACAGGTTTAAAATAATATTACCCTTATCAGTTACATACTCGTTAAGTTTTGTGCATTTTGTTTAATTTGAAAAACTAATTTAAATATTTTAAACCATGTCACTGACATGTTGTTAATTTATACATAAAAGTATATGAAACACTGTAATGTATTATGCTGATTGCTGATACATTTTGTAATAGTTTAATACATTAATTATATTATTTAGGTACATTGTTCATAAGTTAAAAAAGACGGCTTGATCATTGAAGGTGAATTTCTTTTTTCGTAAATAAAAACAAGCATTTTTATATTTTACTATCTGCGCCCCGCGGTGTTGCCCGCGGATTTCCGGGATTTTTGGGATTTCTGGGATGTAAAGTAGCCTATATGTTATTCCTGGACGTCAGCTTCCTGTATACAAAATTTTATCAAAATCGGTTCAGCCGTTTGAGCGTGAAGAAGTAACAAACATACACACACACTCACAAATTTTCGCAATTATAATATTAGCAGGATTGTTCACCAATATTACTAGATGAGGTTCTATTGTAATTAAAATGATAAAAAAATCAGCAAAAAAATAAATAAATGACCAAATCAGTATATACTGAACTACATACAATACTCTTCCTTACATGACCTTGTATAGTCGTGATGCTCTCATTAACTTCATGTTCGATTACGGACACTAGAAAACAAACGAAGAAAGCAAAACAAAATGTTTCAGTAACTCTTCATATTGACATATTACCATACAGAACTATTGTTGAACAGGGTTCTATTCAAGTGTCATAGAAGCACGAGGAATTAAATAAGATCAATTGTCCAACACAGACAGAAATGTTACGCTCATTTAGAAGCAAATTATCTTTGGCAGACTTCTATTGTCTAGGATTAAAACAATTTATAAACAGCCTTGGCTTCTACAAAAAGTACGGATTTTAAGCGTAATTTCTTATTAAATAAATTCAAAAGATATTTCCATCTTAACGTCGAAGAATCGCAACTTCAATTTGCGGGTAGTTGTGGGAAGTTAATGTTAAGTGTTCATTGATAATAATAATCCAACTGTAGTGATATAAAATAAACATTACTTTTGAATGACTAAAGTCAGTTTCATGGGAATAAAATCGTCTGGTTTAGAAGCTGCCTCCTTCTTGAAAATCAGCTCTAAATACATCCAATATAAATAACAGTGTAAAAATTTATATTCGTTGAATATTTTCATATAATTAAAATAACTATGATACAATAGTTCCAATGTATTCAAAATTAGGATTATTACGATAAAGGTTGGCATATCTTCTACCTGGCAATTTCCCAGCTAAAGCCAGGGTCTGTCTTACATGTTGTGAATAGTTTTGGCTATTTGTTTTTACGACCGGCCGCCTGCCTGACATCAAACCTCTTTTGGGAATTAACATTAATCAGTGATATCTAAATAGTCTTAGAAAGTACATATGACTCGGAAAAATCACATTGGTACTTGCCCGGGCCAGGATCGAACCCGCGCTATCGGCAACGAGAGGCGGGCCCTTTAACCACTAGGCCACCACTGACACTGGTTGGCATATATGTATATATATATTAGCACATACCAATTAACTGTATCGCCTTATACAGTAAACGTCCTCAATATATCTTCTTACAGAAATACATATTGTAAGAAATAATTTACATATAACCAAGTACTTCAGAATGATATCTTAATGTATTAAGTCAAACCAATTCCTCTTATGGCAATAAGAGTTACAAGTACGACATTCTTTGTTAGATACAAACGTTAATATTTGTATTTAATATCAGAATTCCATGTTTATAATGTTCTTCAGTCTATCAAGACTCGCACTAATATAATACTTAGTTCACTAACTCATAGAAGAATCAGTTTGCGAGATAATCATGTTTATAACCTTCCTTGCGTTGTCATTAATAACATCTAAATCAAATATACGAATATTTAACTTCGCATAAACTTAAAACAATCGCTTACCAAGTCCCGTATGACATTCTCCAGACCGATCTGAATGTTCTGATGCACCATTCTGGAATGAAACAAAAGAAAACTTAGTAATAAATAATTTATAGACGGCTTAACACTGAACTTATGTGAAAATGTGTACCATACATACATATTAACGTGGTATTATAAATTTATTGTGAACACGAACTAATTTTGTCAGAAGTTTCAGTCACAGAAAAATAATTTCATAAGAAGTAGTAAGAATACTTTTTAACCGACTTTAAAAAGAAGTATGTTCTCAATTGAACTCTATGTTTGCTTTACTATAATTGATTCAATTAAAAGCTTAGTTTCAGATTCTTTTTTAATCAAAAGGGAATCTTGAGGAAGTTTCTTTCTCGCCAAGTCAGAATGTGATGAAGGGGTCCTGGAGCATCCAGTGAAACTTTATTAGGACGATAAGTCGTATCTCAAACGAGGATTAATGTACAGGCAAAACCATAGGCAACAGCTAGTTATTTACACAATTAATCTTTTATATAAACATTGATATTTTGCAAGTGTTGTCGTTAAACGTAGTCATATTAAATGTAATTATTATTTGACGTTAACACTTTTCTAATTATTATCACTTTTAATCTATTTTTTGCTATACGATATTCTTTGTCACCAAAATTCAATGTTTCGAAGTTGAAGAACATTTTTATATAATATTTCTTATTATAAGGACTTTGATTTTTTAAATGCTGAAAGAAGGCTTTAGGCTTGTTACCTCCAGGAGTTCCACAGAAAACAGGTCTTGAAAAATGGTATGAAATAATAAAAATACCTATTCTATATCTAACAGTTACATTCATAAAGAACTGTCTTTATGTCAAAACACACTAAGGTAAACAAAGTTGATATTTTTATGCATCCATTTCTTTTTTATTTTATTTAGAAATATATTTCCGGAGTACCTGTATGAAATAAGAATTGTTTTTTCTTGATTATTTTGTTTTAAACGTAAATCGACAAAAAAGCTATTGAATTAATTCAAAGAATATACTTAATACTAATAATATAAAGACACATAGAACAAATTATTACCTTGATGTTCATTTTAGTACATATAAATAAAAACTAGGTTTAAGTTTTAATAAATACTATGAATAACAAAACACAACTAGGTATATATAATGAACATTATTTTATACATGTTAATTTTTACTACTACACGGATATTATATAATTTATTAAAATATTACAATTTATGTAAGGAACCTATATGAAGTACAGCGTCAAAAACCTTAACCTTAACAAGACTGCAAAACTAGTTTTTTTCATCTAAATACTTAGATTTTTGTATATATTAGGTAAAACACCACGTTTCCTTCCAATAAAATATTTGGAAAATTTAAATATGCCAATTTTATTACAGACAAACCCGCGGGTAAAATCTACATAAAGTGACCATTTGATTGGTGTAATTATGATATAAATGAATAACTACTACACAACTAACGTTATTCTAATAGTGATTGTTGTCCTTTTATTACTCCGACCAGTATATTTAAATTAAAAAAACAATATATGGAGTAAAATAATCTTAAGGCGATATCTTTAAAGTAATATATAAAAAAAAACGATAAATATGTTACAAAGTTACCCGGACAGAAGTCATTATTACTTTAGTTAAAATTTTAGTTTGTATGTGTAATAAACGTTACAAAAGATGTCATTGATTTAAAACGACCGTGAAATCCGTTTTTAAATTCCGTTCAATAATACAATAACTTTACATGTATATTTTTATAAACTTGAAAAAATATATATACCCAAATATTTAAAGTAGATATAGATATCTAAAAAACAATTGGTATTTTAATATATTTCGTGAAATTTTGCGTTTTCGTTCAAAGACTTCTCAGACAATATCATTTTCACCTGCATTTATATCATTTAAATACGAAAACATAATTATACCTACTCACAGTATTACTTCTTAATGTAACAAAAACACCTATTTTATGTTATTTTGACGTCATATTTATCTAATAACTTTTTAATAACATCCCATCAATGTGTCAAAGAGTTTCATATTTATAATATCTCACTGGTAAAATCTGTACAAGTATTTAATATTTCACACTTATAATATTTAATTGTTCACACATTATTACCCAATACATTAAATGTGATTAAGAATCGTTAAAATAAATAATTAAAAAATAATCATTATGTACTTACTTTATTACTAATTATGTATATTATGTATATATATATGTTCAAGCTATCATTCCAGACGAGCGGCCCCACTTCACTACACACTGTTTAAAACGTTACTGATCTTAATGACAGCCAACAACTAATATAACACACACAACCATTTACAGAACCATTCACGACTCAGCTCTAATTGATCTTGAAATAACGACATCGTTGATTTAACTTGTCATTCGCTCTTATATTAAGATAAAATCTGACAGAAGTAAGTACTTCAAAATAAAAGACATACGTCTGTTACGTACGAGGTACATATTAAAAATTAAATGAACATCGCCGGGGCAACATCGTTGTATGGATGAAATATCATATAACGAGTGACACTGCTGACTCCGCGGAACGAACACCAAGCCGTAAGAACCAGAAGATTCCTTACACCATACAAGCTGTTGAATTGTATTGCTATCCTAACATCGGGGCAATCATATAGTCTTAAGTGTAGGTCATAAGTTTTAATATGTAATTCTTATTATAATATACATATAAGTATTTTTCTTAGTTCTCGTGGAACCTCTGGTTGTCACCCTACATCATTCGTCATACAATATAATTTATTTAAACTATAAAAAAAAAACTATAAACAAAAGTGTTAATAGCGGAAGTTGCAGTAGCATAATTAATATATTTAATGTGTTAAACAATTATGTCTTGATTCTTTTATTACACTTCAATTAAAATTACTATACGTACCTGTTCATCTTGCTGCTAGCAGCTTGTCTTCAGATAAACATAATTTCATAAAACCCTTTCATTAATACAAACATTTATATTTCTACAATCTACCCTATCTATATTACTTTTAAAAGGTATTCAACGATATATTTTTGCGTAATTCCTCACCAGAGTCATTTTAAAATACATGTAAACGTAACATACATTCTGTATATAACTATTACGGACAGACGATATGCCAGACGCGTATCTTAATATAATACTTATACTACTAATATAACACTTTCTAAAATGTTCATAATAATAATATTCTAAGCGTGGGTGCCGAAGGTTTATGAATAATCGTTCGTCCGTTTTATTCTCAAAGTATTTATGTATAAAGGGTGGAATACAAAAACCTGACCACATATTACTAGTTAAGTTATCAGGAGTTGAAATATTATAGTATAGTCGTGAAGTATCACAATTCAGTACCCACACTTCACACACAATTAGATCGTCACACTGCATACGGATTATTCCCAGTTTTTCATTCATAAGCCTGTGTTCATATTATTATTTATTATGCAAACATTTATGTTCGAAAAAGTGACACCGCTGGCGACATGACATGTCGATACAACAGGGGTCAGAATAAAACTATCAAAAATATAAAAAAAAAATAACTATCAAATCCTCGTTAACATATATTATAACTACAGATAATTCCATGGTAAGGCAGTTCTTTTATTCGGTTTATAATAAATTTTTGTTATATTTTCATAGCTTTTTAAAATATGAGTATTGTGTAATTAATGGATTTTTGGTCAATATGTAAAAGCTTCCGTACTTACATAACTTCGTATAACTAACTATGTATATTTCAGATGTTAATGTTTAAATAAAATTATTATATATGTACCAGAACGATTATTTGACTTATGATCTTTTAATTTTCCATGGAGACTATAATTTTTTGATCACGTTAAGCCAACAATCTCAACGTGATGTAGCTGTTTACGAAACGTTCAATAGTTATCATCTCGTTTCTTGTAATGTTAATGACCTATCCCAAAGTAGTAGTCAAAGTAATCCCAAAGTAGTAGTAGTGCTTAACCGTTAAACCCTTTTGAAATAGAATTAGCATGAGTAAGGGAAGAATTAGATTTTATTAGGTATTCCGTGGACAAAGTGTATATGGGCAACATTGCTAACATTCAAGAAATCTAAATGAGGAACAACAAAAAGTAAAATAAAAACATCTATACTCTAAAGAAATAAAAAAATGTATTAAAAAGTGTTTTCTTTTATAAAAACATTAAATCGCAATAAAAATAAATGAAGTTCATATAAATTTATTGACAGTTTTCAGACGAATCATCTATGATTATTTTTTGTCTCATACAGTTCTTTACACAGACTTTGTGCAATCATTGGGAAGATTGTGATTACACTTAAATTGTTAATATCCAAGACTGAAAAATAAATTATTGCTGCTATATTACACGTAACATAGAAGTGGTTATTCACAAAGTAATTGTAATAACACAATGTACCTGCTTACGTATACAGATTACATGATTTAAATATTTTAATCAATAGTATGACATTCATATAAATATGTTAGATTTTAATGTTAATAGTGTGACTTAAAAGTTATTCCTATATTAGACAGATCTTAACACTTATCATTTATTTTTAATCAATGTGTTTAAAACCTTGTGCTTCATCTAAACTGTTCTGACTACTTGAGGGCGAAAGCATTTCTTTTCTGAACTCTGAAGTATAAATTAAATAATAAAACCATCCATAAATAATAAATAATAATGAATATTACATATAAAAACTAAACTAAACCATATCAGTGACAATAATTTATGATTACATGAATGGAACCATAAAAAGCCATTTCTCTTCAATCTCTTTTATTTTCTTTCCAGCTCCGGCCAATACATTGCTTGCATTTTATCCTGTGTTTAGTGAAATAAATAGTGATTTAAGACATACTTTTCATATAATGTTTTGTATATATAAATGATTTTCTACTTTTTTCTCGATCAGAAATAATACCACCTGGCTTTGATGAGCTTCAATGAGAGAAGTTACAGCAACATTTCCATTCTTTTGGAAAATTGTATATTTTCCACCGATTTTATTTTCCCCTCCATCGAGTCGGGTCCATCACTAGGTCTTTTATGAGCTATTTTATTATTGTCTAATACATTTTCTTTATTTGCTTTATTACTACCAATTAGTTTGTATTCTTTCATATACAAATAATATAATTACATATTTACAAATACATAATATGTATATGTATAATATAATATTTAATAAGCAACACTTACTTTGGACTAAAAACAGTTGAAAGTTTTTATTTTGCTCTTAATAATAATATTAAAATTATCACACAAACCAAGTGACATCTGGTCCAGAACTATAATACTCCTTTGAGATAAAATTTTTACAGTTTCTGTAAATTTAGAACCATTTTCACCCTACAAATGCACATCTAATAATGTCAAAGTGTTTATCTAATATTAATAAGTAACCTCGGTATACTTGAGAGTTTATTATTTTGCAATTGTATTTTTTATCTCAGCACTCACTTCCCGACCTTGAGGGAGCGACAAGTCACGAAACAGCATGTATACTATCAGCTAGATACCATAATTCCTATTGGCTTAATAATATAATGGAGAATTCCTTAAATCATTTATATCAAGTTAGAACAAGATTGCATTAAAAATTTAAAACATATTCGCAATATAGCAAAAACAAATCCGTTAGCTTGTGTATAACGTACGTACCTATAGGCAAGTAAAATTCGATATTAATTATTTTAAATACCTTTGTGTTAAACTTGTATTATTACATCTATCACTAATATACTGGCCAAACAAAATATGTAAAAAAGAAAAACACGGGAGATGAACTCAAGATCCTTGACATCAGTTGTATAAAACAAAATTAAGATTTTAAGCAAATGTAATTTTGATTTGAATTCTTCCACCAGCGACTCATTTGTATGAATGGTTAGACCTAGGTTCAGGTTAAAAAATGATTACCCTTTGTCCACCGCGGCCCGCGGGTATTCTACTTAATTCCAATTTTACTTTTGATGAATTATAAGGCGATTTTAATGACTCAAAAGATCCAATAGGAAAAAAGGATAATGATCCTGACACATCTGAAGACGGGTACGGTATTTCAAACTCTTTCATTTCAAATTTAGGTGATAAAATTAAATATTATAACAAATTATATGATATCAGATATGATAAAAAAATTGTCACGGATGTTTGAAAATCTCGAGATCCCCACCCCATCCCCACCTTTCATAACGACTCATCGTACAATACAGAAAAGCGTATTAAATAGATGATTCCCTGGCTATGGATTCGACCAACGATAATGTTCTACTTTCAACTCTCAGGCAGAAATTACTTGAGGTAAGTTTCGTAGAAGTTAAAGGTTATAATTCGCTTTCTTCACTCGAGAACTAGTAATGTTGAATGGTCGTCATCCTTCATAGCTCCACACCAATTCCTCTTTTATTTAGTGTTTACACATATTTATCACCTCGAATTATCAGTTGCGAGTTTTTGTAAGGTTCTACAACACGCTGATAACATATCTGTTTATTACAGTTATGTGTCATTGTGTAATCTCATCTCTTTATTATTGGGATAATAGTAAGTAAACTATGGAAACTTCTTATCGGAAGAAAATAGTGAGGGTATATTTTCCACCAGAAAACGAGTTCTACGTATTGTTTATTTTAATAGAAATTGGCAATCTTATAAACAAACGTGATCAGCTGATAATGACAAAAACTTTCTATGCCCCTAGTGATGTGAGCACTCTTCAAGATACTTTAATCTTAATTATTACATTAAACTATTCATATAAATGAATTCTTAAAATTGTTCATATTTTGCTAAGTATTTATAAGTGAGCTTTTTTAATGAGTTTATAAATGCAGAATGCAAACGAAAACAGAAGATTGTTTGGCATCCCAATAGTACTAAAAATCCTTGATTCCCTGGGAAACCAAGGACCCCAAAGACCATGCCATCAAAGTCAATAAGTATTACGAGATCACTAACGATTTAAAAACATGATTCATTTGTACTTTTAGCGCTTCCTATGTTTAGTTCCGACTGCCAAATACCAGAAAAAAAAAACATTTTGATCGGTTGACTGATTTTCATCACAGCCTGTAGAATACACTACTTATAGTGTTTAGTATAATCAAATCTTTTTGATATCTGTGACTTGGTTAAAATAATAATGATTATAAATATTAATTTAAAAATAAAAGTTGTATCAATTATAGTTCAAGAACGGCTCTACTGCCTTTAAGGAGAAACAGAGTTCCCCCGGTCAGCTATACATTTTTAAGTTTGAAAGTAAAGTAAAGAAGTCGCTTTAAAAACACCAAACAAACCAAGTTAAAAAAAAAACAACCAAAATGATTTTAATAAAATAAACATATAACACAGTTGTTTATTGATGATAAGATTGTTAAAAAAAGTGGTGGGTTCATTGAGATGTAATTATAATGAGGACTGATATTCCATTGTACGTAAGAACGGGGTAATCGTGGTCAGTTGCTTTGTTTACAAGATTGCCAATTTCTATTGAAATGAACTATACGTATTCAAGAAACAATACCGTTTGATAAATCCTATAACCTCAAAACATTTTAATTTTGACTGACTCTCTAACTTATCGAAAATCTATAAAATATATTTAACTCATTCCGCATATCTAATTTAAATTTCTTATCATACTTAAAATTAATCATGTTTTATACTCTTGTCATGAGAAAGACCTGACAATTTTTTAATTTGGATTCCATTAACTTTGTTAAGTGGTTTCAAGGATAATAAATCCATATTGTTACGGCAAGAACGAAACTCCAACTACAATGAAATTTACCAACATGAATATGTGGGGTAGCTAAAGTTTACCTAAAATGCAACTCCATAAATCTCGGTATTCTTAATGGTCTATAACTCTATACACAAAATCATTGAAAGACGACGTATGTACCAATTCATTTAGGTACTAACCAAACTTCCTAAAAAACATTGGTTTTCTTTCTATAAAAAATGAAGTGTTTTGTAACATATAGGTATAATAAATAATATAGGTATTGGCTTAATCTTGAATATTTTGAGTTTAAACTAGTCTTTTGACTGGATTGTTTCAGTGTAAATGAGGGATTACTTTAAATGAAAAAAAGATTCTAGAATTCCAAAAAACTAGTCTCATAATTCGTAAATCATGATACGTGCTTGTATTTTACTAATGATCTGTGATAAATGTCATTAGTTGACACTTAACCTAACTGTGGATTGAGTGTTTTTTGACAGATTGAATAGAACAAAAGAAACAAAAACTTAATTTCTATTCACTTTATCTAAACTACATTGAACATTGAAATATGTAATTTTCGTCTTGTGTGCAGACTGTATAATATTTATGCGTATATGTGGAAGCGAAAATAATCAGCGCCAATATTTTTAACAGTTGACGTTGAAGGATGCCTCTTTTATTTGTTCACCTACACAGTCTATGTTGAACATCTAGATACAAATTCGTGGCTGCTTCAGATTTCGCATGGTTTATTCAATGATACCAGTGGTTTAATGAACTTATATGTACTTAACACATTATTTCTCCTTCATTTATTTATAAACTTTTATTCAGTTATTAGTTACAACCGGCCAGCATTATTATACAATTTAAGTCTTACAAAAAAAAACTCGGATTAAAATAAGAAATGCCAACAATAAAAAAATATGTCTTTAATATAAAATCTTACAAGTTCACCATTTTACACGTCTCGCGCTTATTTGGTTTGTATGATATGGTATTTGCACCACCCCGTCGTCATAGCATCATTAAAAACTTTCACTTAAATCATTATTTGTCACTTCATCACCATCACTGTACGAGCCGCTGTTTCTTTAGTTTTTCGTCCTTTTCTTTCAGTTTATTTTCTATACTCGTCCAAAGATCTGGCTGCGACTGTCTTTGTTTGCTCTGTTCTGTGTATTTCTTAGTGAGTTCGTTGGCGTAGTTCGATGGAATGTAAGTTTCCGATTTGTTCGTCTTACTATCCGACAGTAAAGAAACGGGTGAAATTGCATGACGATTATTAGTTTTCCTCTTGAATGTGACCGGACCTAGATGTATTAAGGGCACTTTTGTTTGTTGTGGCACTTTCGTTACTGTATTTTCTTCAGTACTATCAGTATCTTTGCGAGATGTATCACTGCAATTATTTGGTGTCTCTGTTTCTGAACTACAGAGCCATTTTGTTACTTTTTCCACAGAAGCTGCAATTTCTTTATTAATAATCTCAGTATCCGTAGAAGCATTTAAAGTGTCTTCAGTGACGTGATCTGTAGTCAAGTTATTCCCTACTCCATCCTGTGTGTGTGTTATATTATTTGCTGTGTTATTTATAAAGTATTCAGGTGATATCAGATTAGGTTTTGTTTCTGTCACCGCTTCTTTGCTGTATAGCTTCATGAGTGTTGTAATCGCTAGGTTTCTCTCCCTCTTTTGTTTCACACAGTTAATGTTGGATGTTTCTGCGATCTTAGTCTTCAATTGTTCTCTCATTTGTTTCAATTCATTAGGTATATGAGTTTGGTTATCCCTTACTTTAGTATCACAGATATCAGTCCGCACAGTTTTCTTAACATCTAAGGGTAACTTTTGATCTCTAATGTCGGGCTCTTCATTATATTTACTACTATTTACATTTAATGCACTTTGCCCTTGTTTCACTGTACTTGATTCAAACTCCTGTGCGTTAGGATCTAACTTACTTATAGACACTATAACATCAGTTGGTTCAGTTTTATTCTCTTCTGATGGCCCTTCATTGTAGTTGTCAACCTGTAAAATAGAATATTACATTTTAAATTAAAATTTTAAAAACATTCAAACATATAGATACTCAGATTAACATAAACATCAAAATTGTTCCTTATATGTTTGTTACTAGTCTGTCACAGAGTATAAATGTATAGTGTGTTAAAACAATAGATATGGTTACGTCAACTACATTCATAGTATGTGTCATGTGACATCATACACAACACAACTGTTAAAATTATTTAGAGTCAACAGATAATTGTGAATGTCAACTAATAGACAAATTATTTGCAATAAAATAATATTGTGGCTATAAATTAAGATGACAGCTATCTTTTCTTATGAGAAGGGTGGCAAACGAGAAGGCGCTCTACTTGATGGGCGGTAGTCACTGTCGCCCATGGACATCCTCGACAAAAAGATGTTGTGGGTGTGTTGCCAACCTTGCTTATTCAGGAAAAGGGAGGGGAGGGAATAAGGAAATAGTAGGAAAGTGTGGGAACATGGAAAGGGCAACTGGCTCTCTCACTCAACAGACGAAACACAGTCATTAAAGACTATTTCATGCAAATCTTGTGTGAGAGAGTGGTACTACCCTAGTTGAGACAGCTCATGATTAACCTGTAGTCACTGGACCACAGTTATGCTCTACAACCTTAAAAATCTTTCAAATTGGATTAAACAGCACACCGTGTGCAAATTTAATATAAAATTTATTAAGTGGTTAAGGAATTCATCACAGACAAACAATGTGACATGTGTTTTACTTATATGTATTAAGATTCGGTCACTTTTTTACGAAAACAAAACATTTAAATCTACTGATAAATAGAATACTAAACTATGAGGCCTTGACTCTATCATTGATATTTTTTAATGAAGACATTTTTTGTGAAAATATATCAACATAAGATAGTACTGCGAAACTTTATTTCACTGAAACAGCTTAAGATTATAGCTACCAATGGTTGTACGATTTGAAAAACTGTTATGTATTAGTTTTACTTAGTCAGTGTTGTGGAATAATAATGTGATGTCAAGTGTAGTGTAGGTAGATTACTTAAGTATATTGGTTTCTGTCAATCAAGTTGCTACTTAGCACAACACATACATGACAATTTAATATAGTTTTATTGAATACTATAATTTCAGATTTAAACTTATTACACAGACTGAACAAACATGTATGCATGGTGGAGTAAGATATAATAAAACATATTATGTATCATTGTGGCTCTGAAAATTTTTGATGATTGTAACAAATTGAGAACATCAACAAGCCAAATTTGCAATTAAGGATTGTATATATTGTTTAATTACCATTCTCAGCATTTCTGTGATTCCCGCCAAATCAGGCTTCTCTATGTCATCTGTTTGTGTTGGTGTTTGTCCTCCATAGAATCTTGAGAGATCTTCATCATCTGTAATATTCAATACACAGTTTTAGACACAAATATGAGATGTTGATATTAAAATACATCCACCAAAATTTAACATCATATTAAAATTTTATATCTAAAGAACACTTTTAGAAAGATAAATATATGAAGTTCAGAAAAATAGAGCAGTTAATATAATTAGAAGTGTAATTTAACTGATTAAACATTACCTTCCTCATTGTTCCAAACAGGCGGTGGTTCAGTCCCCACAACATAATGATTACCCAAATCACTAACACGCTTCCCAGTCACCTTGGCTAAATCTTTTATCACATCTTGTTTTGAATACCATCCCTTGGAGCTCATCTTGAAGCTAAAATAAAATCAAAGCATACTCCTCTTATTTAAAAAATTCCGTATTGTCACGATGACATTTACGTCTATTTTCTTTGAATTTTTTTCCAGAATTCTGCTTTGCAATAAAGATTCTATTATTATATAAGTTACTTTTAACAAAACATAAGTAAATCCCCAACATTTATCACACTTGACAAGATTTGACAACATTGACCATATTTTTTGCGCCATAGAATTTTTACCTTGTTTAGCAAAAAAGATAAACGGAGCAAAAAGAAAATCACATCGTAATACAACGAAAATAAAATAATTTACTTACATTTTCAATTAACGAGGGTAAACTAAATGTAATGAATATTACTTAAATCACAATCGTAGTAGAATTATACCACGTTGCATAGCTGACTCTAGCATTTTTGTTTACTCTTTAGTTTAAGTTTAAGGCAATTTTTTAAAAATTTGTATAAGGAGATATTGTCGAATGCTAACTGTCCAAAATGTTCGGCCAATTTGAAAAAAAGAATGGATATGTATGAGTCCTTAAGGACACCCGACACCTGTTGAACTTTTCTGACGAGGCCATAAATTGTAAACAGAGATGTTATTATTTAAAAAAAATGCCTAATATTATCTGTGACAATCATAAGTTAAAACAAACAGTAAAAATAATGAAAAACTAAATATGTTAACTCTTAAAAAATTTGATAATTTATATTTCTAAGACTTAATATCATTTTTCTATACATCACTACCTACAATTCAAACACCTAGGAGAGTCAGAAATATTAACTCAAATTTTCAATGTTTTTTTATATCATATTTCGTGTTCATATTATGTTACACTAACATATTAATTATGGCCTGTCAGTTGTCACTTGCCAATATTAACAATCCGAATTAATTGTTGATAAAAATGATGTCTGGTTTTTTAAATTTGTTTAATTGATTCATATTTTTAATGTATGCGTTTTTCCACACTTCAAGTATCATCAAGACTTTATAATAAGAACAAAATTACTGTTATCTGTATCGCCCTACCATGAGTGATGAAAAACATTCAGATGATACATCCCAAGCAGAAATATTGAACAGCGAAAAAGATGAACAGAAAGATAACAGTGACACAGGAAAAACAGACAAAGTTAAAAGCGCGTAGTTTTATTTATACTTTTTATTAAATGTTCTTTTGTATAAATTTTTGTTATACAATTTAATATACAGAATAGATGAATAATAGTCATTAATAAATTTTTCAGTTGATATTTTGCTGAAGGCGACAGGTAACGCACCTATAATGAAAAAAAAGAAATGGGCTGTGGATGCTGAGAAACCTATTGGTTGGATTATGGAGTTTGTTAAAAAGTATCTGAAACTGGAACCTGAGGAAAGATTGGTATGATTTTAGTCTTATAAATAATATTCCTCTTCTGAGATACATATTATGTTGTCAAAACTTTTTCACTTATCACAAAAAATATAAGGGTGTTTCTCTGCTATTTGGAAACTTATCCATACAAGACTGTCCTAAGCAAATTTTATTAAATGTTGAGAATGTCTGTCAATAGAAAGAAAGTCAATAGTATATCAAATATATTTCTTAAAGAAGCCCACACATTTTCCTCTTGGTTTTTGAGTTATGGACAGTGGCGGCCGGTGGGTAATCGAACCGGTGGTGCACTTTACTAAAATATCAAAATTAGAAAATGCAACAAAACAATATAACGAGATGTCAATCACGGCTCAATTCATCATATATCGGGTGCTCTCGGTAATCTTCGGCCGCTCGTGCGGCGCTCGAGAACCGACTCATTACTCGGTACATTTCTATGAACTATCTTTTGTTTCACGCGTCCTGCTTATTAATGCGTATCTCATACAAGATGTATTAGGAGTCCTCATGCACTCGCCGAAGCCCACGATTTGAGTTTAGTAAAGCGCTCAAGCTTTTTGATCATAATTAGGAAATTTAATTTTTTATATGTTTTTATATGTTTAAAAAATAAATATTAAAATGGTAATTTAAAAATAAAGATGAAGTAATATTTTGTGATTTTTAAATCTTTTGAATTGGTGGTTCAGCGACCGAGTGCACTTAAGGTACAGCCGCCACTGGTTATGGATGGTTCTGTGCAAAATTGTGACAGGGGATTGTTGTGGCCAACCAGGGGAATATTTTTATGAACAAAAACTAGTATTATTGTTTGTTTAAATAAGCAAAGCTTTATTTTTATTACAATGTGTAACTTAGACTAGACTTTAGAGTAGACTTTCTATAACATTTGTGATAAACTGACTAAAATCAACTTCTTACTTCAAGAGTCTTTCTAAAATTCACCATTTAGTTATTACAAACAAACAAAAAAAAATTACCTCTGTTAACTAATTATCACAATAAACTAACTTTTATAATATTTGGTCAAAACTGACATCAGACATACCATTCTCATCAATTCTGAACTTGTAACCCTTGTTATCACAAATTTTCATATAAGTCACTTTTATACCAGGGGACTGTGTTTTGAGGTGTTTAACATCTTTTATCTCGAAAACATTTATATTAAATTACTAAATGAACAATGGTGAACCAAGAATACCACATTAATGTCCATATTAAACCTAAAAAAATAGATATGATAGAATTTATTATACAAAATTTGCTTGGGACAGTGATTTTCCATTTAGTAGAGAAATGCCCATAAACTAGAGCTATTCATATAGTGTAAAATTTACATCTCTCTACTTGTTTAAACAAGCAACTCATTTATTTTATATTTTTTCAATATTTATATTTGTCAAATATATTTTTCAATATCTCACATTCAAACGTTTTAATGACCAAATGTAACTGAAAACTTACCTGTCTGCTTTAATGGTTTTTAGTATTTTAAAGGCATTGTTTCGAGTCATCTACTGTTTTTAATAAGTTACTATTTACTAAATTCCTTGTTGTAAATCTTATTGATAGTTTCATGTAGTTCCACTTTAAAAAACAGTATAAAACATATCACACAAATATATATTGTATATTTTTTCAGTTTCTATATGTCAATCAAACATTTGCCCTGTCCCCCGACCAGCTGATCAAGAATTTGTATGAGTGTTTTGGAACGGACGGTAAACTGGTGCTGCATTACTGTAAGAGTCAAGCTTGGGGATGAATTGTATGAATTATATATTTTGGTTGTATTTTAATATATCATGAGATGGCTTCTTTCTATTAAGCATATATCATTGTCTCATGCTTCAGTTTTATGTTTGATTATTATTCAATGATTGTAATATTAAGACATTTATAATTTTTCATATTTATAAAAATAAATGTAAATAAATGCATTACAAATTATATCTTTTCAAACATGTTTGGTGAAGCATTCCAAAGATTTATAACATTATAATATTTAGTCTTTGTTTATACAGGGTGTATGGAAAACTGTGTCAACCCTTGAAGGCATGTATACATATAAGTATAAGCTTATTATAAAAAATAGTATAACTTAAAAAAAATCAAGCAGAAGTCAGTTACAGTGCATAGGCTAAGTAAGTTTTAAATCGACATTTTTCGAAAATATGTTCCAAACATCTGACTCATACAAGGTCAAGACACCGTATAGTCGCTACGACGCATGCGTGACCATTGACCGCAGGCGACGGGCCGCCGGCGTTATTATTACTATTCTGTTAGTTGTCGAATAGAGATTTGAAAGTGTAAAAATTAGTTATATCGATAAATATTCTATCGACATTTTCAATATTGGTTTAAATAGTTATGCTTTTCACATTAAAATAATTTCATTTAAAATAACTTTTATTAATAATAAATATTATAATTTGAAACTTGTTCAGGTAAATTAACTACATATGTTGTATTATTAGGATAAATCGTTAATCTATTTCTGTTAAAAATGATGTTTTACAATCAAACATAATATTAATGTTTGATATATCAAAATAAGTATCGAAATAATATGAATATTAAATATTTATTTATTGTTATGATTTTTTAAATATCGATATTCTCAATAATGTGAAAGTAACTTCAAGGTCCTCACTAGTAGCGCAGCAGCTGTGATGACGTCATTGCGTGTCATCGTGTTATACCAGGGTTTACAAACATTTTGTTACTCTACATATAATAATCATTTAATATTTAATTTTATTATTTTTATTGAAGAGTTTGTAAATGTAAGTTGTTTTCTTGTGTTACATTATCGATACTGATAACGTAGTTAAGAGGGTTGACATAGTTTTTCATACACCCTGTATAAATTAAATTTTGGTTGATTATTTTATAAAATCCTGTTTTCATGTATTCTATAAACATAATGTGTATAATGAGTGCTGAGATTTTCGTGAGTCATTTATATGAAACTAATATTTTTGGAATATACTACACGACTTTATTTTTGATAAAAACAACATACCACTTAGTGTCATTCACATCTCGTCTGCCCATGATCACGGTTGCTGAAAAGTAGCTGAAACGTCCGGAGTATGTTGTTTTTATCAAAAATATAAAACGCAGTATATCCGAAAAATATTAGTTTTATGTGTATAATTTAAGCATTATTTCTAGCAGTAACTTGGCTAAGTCATTTGTGTGATGAATTTTATAATATATGTATGTGATGGTATTCAAATAAAAATCATATTTATAATGAATCTTTTTAATATTAAAAATATAAATTATTGTCACTTGGATACTTGTACTGGAGTATCATAAATAATTCTAATAGTTCCGTTGGCATCTTTTGTATAGAATTTTTTTCTCCAAGCAATTGATTACTTTCTATCTCCACTGCTGTTGACATAATCCTTGCTCGTAGTCCTTGTTGGTAGATTATCTGTGAAATATATTGTTTTCTATATAACATATTGTTTTTCCATCATTGATACTGACTGGCATAATTTAAATGGAAATAACATGGATTTTAATACAAACATTACAAGTCAGTATATATATATAAAGATTTTCTTATTAGTAACTTTTAAACAATACGTGTTGATAAATTAGTTTTCATCAAACATTTTATTTCTCTATTTTACACTGCCTTTTCTTACTAAAGCGGTCTTTATCAAAGTTGTATAATTTTACTTTGATCTTATATTCATTCTTTATACTTAATAATCATGTGTCTGAGGTCAAAATTTGTTAGACTGCATTTAGAGAAATACTATTAAGTTTTTAATATCTCGAATGAAGGTTAGCCCTACTAATAGAACTATGAAAGTCTTGTGTTATTGTTGGATGTAAAAACTTATGAATAAATTCTTATGAAGCTTTCCAGTAATGTACTTTATCTGTCTATGTAGTTCCCGAATCCCGAGGGAGATCACGTAGATGTTTTATTTTGTATATTTTTTATTTTCTATATTTGTGTCATCTATTACAGACCATAGATGGCGCTGTCACATAGTTACCATAACTATTTAATAACAGACACTTTTGATTTCTGTCTCAACATAATTCTTACTTCCAGGGGAGAATTCAGGCGGTGCAGTTGGTAACCAGTTCATTTAAGGACAATGTTGTTTTAAAATGATATATACCTACTTAAGTTTTATTGTAAGTATAGATTTAAAAGTTAGAATATTTTGTTTTCTTATCTACATATAACATATTTTTTGTGGGCACCATTATAGAACAAAATCAGTTACACCAAGTTAGATAAATGAAAGTAATGTCTTTTATATTAAATTTGTGTCACCAACTGACCTGGCGGTCTACAACACTTTGGTCCACTCTTGGGTGTAGTCTTTTTGGACTGATTAGATTTAGCAGAGTCGCACGGACAACACGAGTGGACGCTACTTCGACTCGTATCTATAGAAGCGATCTTCTCCACCTGAGGATACAAACATTATAAAATATTAAGTCGACTTTTGTTTAGGATAAGAGGGAAACGTAGGATTGAATAATACACAATAGAGGGGCATGTACAATGTACATCCCGGGGATAGCTTGTGGAGAACTGAGATTATTACGAAATTCAAAAATGTGGTAATATCTTTTCAAGCCAAACATGAACCGTACAGTCACGGTTTAACGATGAGTTTATTATTTAATATACTAAGGATAATAATAATGAAATTAAAAAAAAAAGTACGGATTTACATACATAAATAAATGAAGTAAAATTGGCTTTGAATATTGAAGATTAAATGAATTTGAAATCAGAAGACGTATTTATATGTATATAGTATTTTATAGGTATGGGTACTATCAGTTTCAAATATCTGGATACCGAGCTTAGCTCGGTATTTAGGAATTATTAGTATTTATTTTAAGTTTTCTTTAAATTTCCTTTAGGCATTTTTAAGTGAACATGTTAAGAAGACACAAAACAATATAATAATGAAACAATATAAATCAACAATTAATTTCTTAGTCTAACCTCAAAACAAACACTCATTGACTTCCTGTTGCTTAACAACGTCATCTCCGGTTGTGTCGTTAAAGCAATTAGCAAAAAGTAATATTACTATTCGCCAATAGATGTCAGGAAGAGTCATATTTTAAAGGACACCTTTTTGCTATTTTTTTTAATAAAATAACATTTCCTAAGAATAATTCCTAGCTAGACCGATTTCTCGCCCTGAAACCCCCTATATACTAAATTTCATGAAATTCGTAGGAGCCGATTCCGAGATTCCAATTATTATATATAAACATACAACGTGTAACATAATTAACGCACACCCTCAAACACCCCAATTAGAATATAATAATATAAACGCAATGCATACACCAAATATTATTTATATGTGCGTTAGCATTTTTTATTTGTGAAATTAGTTATACCAATTTCGTGCAAATAATATGGTCAGCTATTCACCAACACTCCGCTGCACACGCACACACAGACAGACACAATGTACTCGCCGCGCCCGCGCCCCTCTCCCCGAGTGCCGTCCGACAATAATAAGTAGTAGGTAATAATAAGAACACGAAATAACTACATTATGATTTATGATTTTCTTTCACAATTTTCAGGCTTAAGATTGTCGACATTGGTTTTTTTTTATTTGGTTAAATGAAATTTGTAAATAAGAATTATTAAACAGGCGATAACGCGTAATTTGATTAGACACCACAATACCTACGATAAAGTCTGCGTATTTAAATGGTGTGAATCAAAATATTAACAATAATTTAAAGATCATAAACAAACTTAGTTTAATTTGCACTCGCACGGCGATGTCGTTTTAAAACATTTTCAAAATGTCCACCGCCTTGTTCAATGCACTTTAATGACTGTTTCCGCAATTGTGGTTTTATTTTAGATAATACTGCAGGCCTGCAGTCAGCAGTGTCACTTTTCACTTTTATAAAGGCGGTTATTATCCTATTTTTTAGTTCCTCGAAACTTGTTGTCTCTGTGTTATAAACTAGCGATTTAATTTGCCTCCACAAAAAAAGTCGAGTGGCGTTAAATCAGCTGATCTAGGAGGTCAATGGACACGTGCGTAGGTATTTGATGTGTGCCGACTGTCGCTGTTGGTGTTGCGTGCGTAGGATGACTGTAATTTAATTAGTTCTATCTAAATTTGAGAAAAAAAATAACCTACATAAAAAACTATAAAAATCGATCCAGATACCGATTCTGAATAATCTACTTTCAGGGTGTGCGTTAATTATGTTACATGTTGTATATACAAGAATTGCTAATTTAAAGATATAAGATAAGATATACAATTGGATATATTAAATACGAATTATGTTATATTGACCTTAGAGGGCGCGGCAGGTATCTTGTGAGGTCTGTCGCCGGCCGCCTTCTGTACAGGTTTATCATCCAAGGGTAGGTGTAACTCCTCCTCTAATGTTTTCGGCTCCGCAGAACTTTTCCGTCCAGATGATAACTTATCGTCGTTGACGTACATCTGAAAACATTTTGCATACTTGATAACATGGGTTGAAGATGATAAATGATGTGATTTTAAGAAATATGCAATTCTCGAAATTGCTGACTTCTATCTTAATATATAAATAAAATAAGTATTAATAATCAAAGATTCCACAAAGTTATGGACTTCGGTGTGACTGGCGAGGTCTGGCGAAGTGATATTTGAGGAGTTACAAATCTCCATTTAAACTAATGATGAATACTTTAAGTCAAAAATTTTTAAATTACTATATTATATTTAATTTTTTTTTTCAGTTTGAAAATTAAATACACATTGAAAATTCCAAACAATTATTAATATTGATGTTAACTTTACTTATTTTTTTCTAATGTTATGCATTTTCCATATTTCTAATGTCATTTTTTCCTTTAAGATAAAAAATGTGATCATTGTGACATTGTCATACCCATATTAGTATATTTATAATTTGTGCGTTAGTAACAAAGTTACTCGAACAATAAAATCATGTAAACATGGGAATAGAAGATGGAATTTAGTTATATTGATATTAGTTTAACTCTGTTCAAGCTGTGTATCAGCTTAGAAAGAAATCACAGGTAGAGACGAGTGTAATCATGAGGGCTATATAAAAAAGTACAGTGACCTATTAGGCGTAAAACAATCTGAGAAAAGATTTATTTCAAGATATGTGTGTGTGTGTGTATGTGTGTGTGACTGTAATACATATCGTGATACGTACGTCGGGCACCTTCCACACTATGATAGTCCCGGCCGCACAGCTGCTCACGATGACCTTAGCGTCGGGACTGAACCGGCAGCAGGTGACCGCGCCCGCGTGACCCAGACCCATGTGTGTGTAGATACCCTCCTGGTACTTCCATAACTATATCACAACAAACATTCATGACACTTTATATGTATAAGTAATGTTGTTATAAGAATACCTTAGCTCTATGTGAAACGCTGAGAAATGTGTAGGCTTTTTCTATTTTGACATTAAAGTTGTAAAAGTCTGAATATATGTCATGTTAGATGTATAAAGACACGCCTGTTGGTTTGCTTTTTGTAAATGGCAGTGAGGGGCCAACAACATATTGTTTGTATTCTGTTTTTCAGAAATAAAAAATCAATTTCAACGTGTTCGCTAAATAATAACCCTCTAGAATCTAGATTATAGATAAAGTATATTGCAAACTAAAATTTCTACTAACTTCTGTGTCTACAGACTAGTTTCCATTTATTTTTAGCCACTTCATATACATATTTTAGGTAAGCTTAAAGACGAAGACTTTTTAAGTAATTGTCGCCATTTGTAAAGCAATTTTGAATAAAATTACTATAAGTTTGTTTACTATAACTTACTTTAACCATTTGATCGTTGCCACCGGTCACGAACAGATCTCCTTTTTGTGTTATATGTATTCCGTTTATAGCTCCTACTTTGCTCGCTTCCAACTGAAACAGTGTTATAATTTTAAGATATAATAACCTAGAACAAGTTATCCCACGTAATATGTAGTATGTCTTGTCTAATGTATTCTAAGAGAATAAATTATCCTAGTCATCGAATTTTACCTTCCGTATGTAAAGTTTTTGTGAATTCTCAACATTCGCAGAAAGGATCTAAGAAACTTAAAATGACTTCTAACTGCACGCTATGTCTATGTATTAGCAATAGAACCACAATAACTCGCAACACGTCCATATAAAGATATTACGAATTATCGTGGTTTTTGGAATTATAGAATATCTAGTATTGTTGTCTCCCCGTGAAGTATGAACCAGAATATTGAAGTAATGAGATCTAAGATTTTCGCGAGTCTTATTCATTTAAATGAAACAATTTTTTTTCGGATGTATTACGCGATTTTATTTTTGATAAAAAACCACATACCTACTTTATAGCAACCGTGACTCACATCTCGTCTGCTCATGATCAAGGTTGCTATAAAGTAACCGAAACGTCAGGAGTATGTAAATTTTTATCAAATATAATATCGCGTAGTACATCCGAAAAATATTAGTGTCATTTAAACAGTAGATTCAAGGTCTCTGAAGCTTCACTCCTAGGTAATTTCTTTATTTATTTATTATTATTAAGGAAACATACAGCATATCGTATATTACAGCTTAATATTAGTTAAGTTTCCAACCAGTTAAGTTTCCACTACTGTTTATACGGGGAAGTGGACTAATTTTGATGTAACCTAAAATACAACTATTAATTAATTACTAATGAGTTTTTTTTACTGCTACTCTATCTCTATATATATTTTGTATTCCTAGTATACCTCTCTAGCGAGGTTCCCGCTGCCTGCCTCCCAGTATGCAACCCGTCTGTCCGTGCCGCCCGTCAACAATTGCACTCCTCGCGGCTCGAAACACACACACATGAACAAAGTGTTAGCGTACATCACTTGTCGACGAGATAACGAACTGAAACATATAATAATAAGTTAATGATTTATTACTTAAATGAAACTAATATTTTCGGATTTTACTTCGCGTTTTATTTTTGATTAGAAACTATATATACTCCCGACGTTTCGGCTTTTTTCAACAACCGTGATCACGGGCTGACGAGATGTGATTTGTTTTTGAGATTTATTACTTTTCTTTTGTTTGATACGAGTTTAAGTAATGACAACTGATACTTAATAACATGTTATTTTTTTAATACACAAATATATTTCGTTTACTTTTTTGAAGTCAGTTAAAAATGTTCCGAAACAGCCTGATATCTATCAAGCTGCTGCAATAGCTGCAAGCAAACTATTTCTATTAAAAAAAAAAACATTTTGCCCGTTAAGGCTGCCCTTGATTAATTACAATAGAGAAAACAATGTTTATGTCACCAAAAAAGTTACAAATAATAGTGACAAGTCGTTCATACTCCAAAATAACGACTATCATGACGTGAATGAACCTTCGTAACTTCCTATTCAATTATTATTCGTATGGTAAGTCTACATTACATCAAGTCCCATATAATGCACGATCCATCAGTCCCGGCGCTGACAGCCTCCGTATCGTTGGGAGACACTTGTATAGCAGACACCGGACTCTTGTGTTCCTTTAACACCTTCTTGAGACTCTGGCATTCAGGTTTGATGTCCCACACACGGACCTGGAAATACCAATAAAGAATAACACACAGTTATCATCATCATCAGCCTATCAGAGCCCACTGCTGAGCAAAGTCCTCTTCTCACATGGAGAAGGTTTGAGCATTAATCACTAAGCCTACTCAAGACGTGTTGGTGATTTCAAACTTATAATTTTAACTTATAAGTCCAGGTTTCTTTCATCTGTCAGTGGTGTCTAAATACTCTTATAAACTACATATGACTAGGAAAAATCACATTGGTACTTGTCAGGATCGAATCCGCGCCTTCGTGCATGAGAGGCGGGCTTTTAACCACTAGGCCACCACCGACACGCTTACAATATATCTTTATATATATAATTCTTCTGTGAGTGTGTATGTAAGTGAACTTCTCTCAAACGACTGGACCGATTTAGATGAAATTTTTTGTGTGTGTTCAAGGGGATCTGGGAATGGTTTAGATTCACAATTTTGTCCACTGGACAATGTTTTTTTAATAAATTTTTAATTTAATAGTAGTTGTTGATACAAACGTTTTTTGACATTAGATTTGACAACTAACTAATATGTCAATCATTCTGTCGCACTTCAAAACACGGAGATTTATGGCTTTAATAGGTACCAAAACTCCAAAAATATAAATATAAAAACGTAACAGATATTTCTTGACTATAGGGCGATACGAAGTTCGCCGGGTCTTCTAGTATATATATAAAATGAGGACTTGTCTGTTACCTGTCCCTCACAGCCTCCTGATATGAGTGTCCGTCCGTCGTGCGTCATATCGAGCGCGGAGGTCCCCTTGTTGTGTGTGTTGTAGATGCAGTAAATCAAACGACCGGTCAGCGGTGTAAATGCTCGGATGTTACCGTCGTTCCACGCTGGAATTTGGAAACATTACATACTATATACTGTTATATACTAGGTAGGTATGTTTTGTAACGAGTGTTAACAATAATTTGATTTAGGAAACATGTCAAAATGAATTTAGAATCTGTGAATAAATAAACATTAAGATTTTTTTGGCTACATGGAATTGTCATTGAAAATAAACTCAGATGATGTCTAGCATTTTTGCGAGATTACATTCGAATTTAGCTAGTTTTCAGATATATTAAATATGGACATTACTCTCATCTCGTCAAACCTTGATAACGGTTAGCAGTAAAGTACTCAACGTCGAGTAAAATGAAATGCAATAAACCCCATAGTATATCCGAAAATCATGCTTCATTCGAAGTTAACCGATTTTTGTTTACGAAATTAAATATATGTAAATCCTGACATAAAATTTTATATATAAATTTAATTTAACCAGTAACGATAGCTTTTCCGTCGTCCGTGAACAGTAGCGAGGAACACACGAAGTTAGGCACCACGATACGAAGGAGTTCTATACCGGAGTCAGTACACCACACACGGACATCACCCGCACCCGCTGTAGCGAATACGCCCGACATACCTCTGGTAGAGATAAAATAGATACATATAACTATTTGCATACATGTTATGTACGTACTACCTATTAAAAAATAAATGAACATCGCCGGGGCAACATCGTTGTATGTATAAAATATCATATAACGAGTGACGCTTTGACTCCGTGGAACGATCACCAAGCCGTGTGAACCAGAAGATTCCTGATACCACACAAGCTATGGAATGGTATGTTATCCTAACATCGGGGCAATCATGTAGTCTTTAGTGTAGGTTATAAGTTTTAATATATAATTCTCATTATAATATACATATAAGTAAGTTTCGTAGTTTTCCTATAACCTCTGGTTGCCGCCCTATATTATTTAAGCGTTGCAATAAAATAAATATAGAATGAATCAGAATAATTTAATGAGATTATCTCCTAAGACGACACAATTAAAGTGACGCGGACGGTTAAAAATCAATATATATTTAAATGAAACTAATATTTTTCGGATTATACTACGCGACTTTATTTTTGTAAAAAACTACATATCGTGTTCACGGTTGCTGAAAAGTAATCGAAACGTCGGGAGTTAGTAGTTTTTTATAAGAATAAAGTCGCGTAGTATAATCGGAAAAATATTAATATTTAAATGACTAAAACTCGAAAATCTTAGATCTCATTAATAAATATATAAATGATATTTTTGTATATATAGGGCATCGTATAGCTAACCTGGGGAATGCTATATCGTTGATGGCACATCGATGGCAAGTGACGACTAGAACGGGTATAAAGGTTTCCACGTTGATGGCGAATATCTCACTAGTACGTGTCCCGGCTAGTAACAAACGGCTCGAGCCACGGACAGACGGAGACTCCATCAGCTCTAAAGACGTGATGCTGCCTTCCAGTTTTGTGCTCCTTAGCTGGTCGGAACAATTATTCATTATGAGCTTTTTTTTTCATCAAATCAAATCAAATCTGCTATGGCATTCCCTTGCAGGAGTGCACTAGACTATCTGCTAGCAGAGAGAAATGGCGTATACTCGTAAGGCTAACATCTGCCCTAATAAATATTAAGTGATGATCACGACCACTCTGACAAGAATGTTACGACCAAGAAGAAGAAGTCTATCATAATTCATATGTAAATGCACTATGCATAACGAATTCTATTTACACTTTCTTTGGTATTGTCACCCTTTAAAGTTTCAACATTATTCGTTGATCGTCGTAGGAGAAGTAAGTTCAAATTAAATTTCTAAGCGTTAATGTGGATTTCGGAATCCTGTTAAGTAAGAATTTAGTTTTAATTTTTGGGTGTTTTTATTGTTTTGGACACCAGCTTAACTTAGTATGATTTTGCTATTAAAGAGAATTCAACTTTTGTTTCTGTCTTTACTCTCTCACAATACCATGAAGAGGATTAAATACCTATCATATAAACAATTAAACAATCATATCCCAATGACATGACAGCAGTCACAATATTTTATTATTCAATGAATGCCTTCGTTGTGACTTATTATAGTTGCGGTCATATAACTTAACAAAGCTTTGGCGTAGTGGATAAGTTTGCACATGTACGCCTAGCGTAAAAGAGCGGCCACTTTTGATGCTTATCAGGAATTAAAAATACTCGTAACAGTAACAAAAACAGGAGGGTCCATATAAATGGTTGCAAGTTTATTCAGAAACGAACATCCGATCATGTTGACGGATTATGCAATCTCGTTCCCGATACCTATCAACCTATGACACCTAAAAATGGTCTTTTGCCAAGTTATGTACCAGAAAGTTACTAACATATACTATCAAACTTTGTATTTATTTAAATAGCAGTATATTTAATATTGAGCTCTCAACTTACAGCTTTAAAGAAAGGTTTGTTTGGATCGAGTATTTTTCCTTTGGGGAACTCTCCTTTCCAGTTAATTTCATCGAGGATGTCAATGGTTCCGTCACCCGCGCCCACTATGAGACACCCGTCACTCATAATGAGGATTGATTCAATACCTGATTATAAATAATATTTAATAATCTTTATATATATATAATTCTTCTGTGAGTGTGTATGTCACTGAACTTCTCTCAAACGACTGGACCGATTTTGATGTAATTTTTTGTGTGTATTCAAGGGGATCTGGGAATGGTTTAGATTCACAATTTTGTCCGCTGGACAAAGTTTTTTTCACTAATTTTTAATTTATTAGTAGTTGTTGATACAAACGTTTTTTTTTTGACATTAGATTTGACAACTAACTAATATGTCAATCATTCTGTCGCACTTCAAAACACGGAGATTTATGGCTTTAATAGGTAAACTCCACAAATATAAATAAAAAACGTAACAGATATTTCTTGATTATAAGGCGATACGAAGTTCGCCGGGTCTTCTAGTTTAATATAAAATGTCGGAATAAGTCTAGTGAAGGAAGATAAGAGATATGACCTTGACTATAGCATATAGATTCCGGGCGTTTTCCTTTCTTCCAAGGACCACATTTAGCTAGACAGCCAATAAGAGAAGGTTTGCACTCGGCCACGGAAACATTTGGATCAGACGGATAGTTGATGGAGAACTTTATCATGTCACCGGAACTGTAACGTTACATAGAATAAATTAAATTATATGTTTTCTGTTGTAGGTAAGAATTATAGCTTCTGTTTAAGAATTCTGTTCTACAGGACAACGTGTACAAATAGCAATCATAATGATAAAAAAACTATAAACCAGATAGACGTTAATAGAAAAAGATATACACCTCTGTTACCAATGAAAATGCAAAATACTTATAAGCCAAAAAAAAAGTATAGAGAAGAGACATTCTTAAAAAGAAATAAAGTAAATTTACGTTAAAAAATGCATCACTAAATTTAACAAACAATGTCTCCATTGAAAAAATCAATCGAGATCTCGTCTAACAACTTAACAACAACAACAAAAACTGTCGTATGTCATAAGTGATATAATAATCAAGCCGACGCACGTGGTCCCAGCGATGCCGTAAGTATCGTCACTGCTGACCGTGATACATCTCACACAGCGCCTCAACTTGCCCAGGGACACGTCCACCACGTCGAGGTTCTTGCTGCCGGCACGAATGTTCCACACACGAAGATTCGCTGTATACAAACAAACATTGTTTTTGGTAGATATACACAACATAGAAATTGACATGATTATTGTATGAGAAACTGGGCTTGCTTTTATATTGTATTCCTTTGACCGGATCATCCTTGCTATAAGCCAACATAGACCATCAATATGATATCGTTTTTATTTAAAAAAATAAATTCTACAAACAGGGCCCTGTTTAAAATCACTGTACATACTACATTATTATTTTCTTGTATACAATCTACGTATCCCAGATATAAAACAAGTGACTCACAATCTCCTCCCGTAACAAATGAGTTGACTCTCAAATTGAGCGGCACTAGTGTCATGGCGTCTCCGGTGGTTAACTTGGCGGCGGCCGCGGTTCCTGTGGCCGCGCCCGCGACACAGTCCCACAGAACGACACAGCCGTCATCCCTGCCGCCCAGGGATATCATGTAACGTTCATCAGACGAAAAAGATAGGGCCTCCACACGCACCTAAATATGATGGAATTTAAAGAACACTCTAGAATAGTCAAAGTTATTTCACGATAGAGTTAGCAGACCTAGAGCTGACAATAATATAACACTAGCTTTCCGCCCGCAGCTTCGCCCGAGTGGAGTTCGGTTATATCGCGTTTCCAAGAGAACCTTTCAAGTCTGGAATAAAAACTGTCCTATATTCTTTCTCAAGGTCAACTCCATCTCTGTACTAAATTTCATTAAAATCAGTTCAGTAGTTTAGGCGTAAAAGCGTAACAGATAGACAGAGTTACTTTCCCATTTATAATATTAGTAGGGATTTGATTCGCCTTTGAAAATTTAAGATGGCTAGTAGAATCTAAATACATATAACTCAATTCTTAACCTACGATTACTGGGTCTTAAATATATGATGCATATCTTACTTTATGTAGCTCATGAGTCCCGAGTAAAACCTTCTTTTTAAAATCCCACAATTTAGTAGAAGCTTTGAAGCCGATGTGGTTTATTTGTCCCGACCCGACGTACGTGCCTTTAGGTGAAATGGCCAAAGTCGAAACACTGTTTGTGTGTCCACTGAGGAAATACATCTTCTTACTCTTCCATTCCTGAATGCATACCTTGTTGCCAATTGGATAGACGATGTGGTCGCCATCCGGATGAACATTTAAACCTTTTATTGCTGAGCCTTTGAAATAAAGAGTGGTTAATATATTTAAGATCTCTCTTAAGATTATGTTACATTAAGAAAAATTCAGATTTTTAGAGAAGCAAAAACTGAAAACAGCATATTAACTCCTACCATCAAAACCTATAATACTACAAGGTTCTAAGTTTTTCACGTCCATTATAATATTAACCTCGTAGAGAAGATTTATAAAATAAATCAGATTTAAACAAAAATTAATATGAAATAATGGAATTAAAAATTATAACATTAAGCTTGACAGCATTGTTTGCTATAACTTGTTGCTAAGCACGGAAGTTTATTACTTAGCAACTATTGCTTGGTAACAGCTGTTGTATATTTGAAAGGTAAATGTTACATGTGCCTTTTCTGTGCATTCACAATAAAAAAAACTATGTAAATAATGTTTTTTTTTTACATAACAGGAGCAAAGAAAAGGTACTTTTCTATAATTTAAACCTTTGTTTAGGCAGATGAACTAAACAAAAAATATTTGAATAAAACAATAAGATAGCTATAGTCATAATCATTTTAAGTAACACATTTTGTGTCGTTAATTCAAGTTTGTTCAGAAACCCTAACAACAATCTGTATCTCTATACATACTTATCTCCCATATCAATGTTCCCTGTAGCTATATTCTATGATTGAACAATAAATATGTAATGATTCTGAAACCCTCACCTGACACACAATTATTATATTTTCCAATACTGACTGAATTTATGGTAGGTTAATATTTTTTTCTTAAAAAAGTTGTAGCAGTTAAATTGACTTAAAAATTAAACACTTTAAAATTAATTTAGTTTAAGTGGTCGAGCCTAAATATGCACTGTACTGCAGTTCACCTCAGCTGTGTACCAATACCATGCAACAAAACATCTACAGGAGTTAATAGAATGTTCAGTGAAAATAGTTAATGAATCATCATCACCCTATCAGAGCCCATTGCTGAGCAAAGGCATCTTATCACATAGAGAAGGTTTGAGCATTAAACACCACACTTGTTCAAGATGGTTTGGTGATTACAAACTTATAATTGTGATTATTACAAATCCAGGTTTCCTCACAATACTTTCCTTCACCAACGGTCAGTGATGTCTAAATACTCTTAGAAAGTACATATGACTCAGAAAAATCACATTGGTACTTGCCAGGTTTCGAACCCGCGCCCTCATGCACCAGAGGGGGCCATTTAACCACTAGGCCATTATTGACTACTCATTACAATCATTGAGTCATTTATTGCAACTTTAACATCCAAATAATGTATAAATCTGTCATAACTTGCCATTGACCAGCAGGCATATTAATAAATTGTCAGAAATGTCTATAACTTACTGTCATACATCCTTTGCAATATAATACATAATTCATAGCAAACAAAAATGTATCATAATATTTAACATTATATTGTTGTTTTATATTTGTACAGAAATATTTCTAGTCAGAAAGTTTGTTCTACATCTCTCATAACAAAAACATGTTTTTTATATGACATCAGTTTATTATATTGATTCCATAACATTATAATAACAATTAATTAAATAGTCAGGTTTTATTTAATACAAATCCTCCACAAACTCCACATAATAATTACCATTTACATCTACAATGAATGTCTGTTAATACTAAATAATATTATATCTAAGAATATCATATTACATTAACATTGGTATACATTTGTCCACAATTAGTTCATATATATATCATTTCCTTGTCATACACTGTCTTCTAACTAGTTTGGCTCTCTCATCAATTTTCTCCTTCCTAGCTTCTGCGACACGTTTCACTTCATTTACCATGTATTGTTTTATAACTGACAGCATTTCTGACAACTGAAACAAACATACACATTAACAATTGTATGTGAACTTTAAAAATAAGAATAAACATTTTCTTGTGAGCTTTTTTAGCTACCTATTTAATCGAGATAAACAATAGGATGACTTTAAATTGAAAAATCAAACAGAGAGCAATGTTCATTACGTTAGATGACTGTAGTATATTATGAAAGTAAACTAAGTAGTATGATGTAGAATGTTCTTACTAATAATTCGTTTTCCTTTTTACCAAGTTGTACGAACGCACACTTGGCGGCGTGACTTTTATGTTCATCCCAGGGATCGTCATGAGCCTCCCAGCCATCCAACTCCTTACCGCAGAGAAAGCATTTCGCAGCGTCAGCGTCATCTTCGCCGGTGGCCACTGAATAAAAACCCGCCTCTGCCATATTTCGTATATTACACTTGTCTTTATCAGTGAACGGCCATTTTTTAAACGTTTTTATTCGCACGTCTACAAGATAGAGAGCAGGGCTTTCCATTATATTTTGTAAAATAAACACAACAATCGGAATATCTGGTTATAGACTATCTGTGTTTAGTTGTAGTAACTAAAAGTTAAAATTGAATTAAACCAGCCGTTACATATTTTGCTTTGAAATTTAAATGACTGACAACTGACATCTATATTTTTAAAACACTAAAGTCTGAAGTTATAAGGTTAGTGTTTCTATATAAAAATATTTTTGTAGAACAAAATTAAATTCTAAATTATATTATAAAGTTTACAATAATATATCCGTAAAATTGTTCAGACTATAACAAAATTAATAGAAACGGAATATCATATTTTAGGTCATAACATATTAATAAAGTGCTTATAGTCGTTCCACGTTCAATCGGTACAAGTGGACTGAGTTATCATTCAACTTTCGCTCTCTGTCACTTAGTCAGGTTAACCAATCGCATTGTAGGAAAGTCAAAGTCCACGATAGAATATAGGCATAGTCTGATACTCTGTTGATCTAGAAAGTAAATTAGTGTTTGCATACTATAACTGTAGTCCGACTAGTAATAGATACCCAGTATAGCTACTATACACATAATAAATTGTTGACATAAAATAAGGTACAAATATACAAGCAATCATTATATTATTCTTCCAAAGTAATCGAAACAAGTGCCTAACATTTTGTAAGAGTCTATTGTTATTGTAAGATATTGTTCTTTATTTAATAAAGCAAGTGTTTTAATGTTATACGCGAGTCTTGCGATGGTCCGAGCTGTTTTCTAGCATTGTCAAGTCCAGTACAGCGTTTTGGTGAGTAAAGTTAAATAAAATTTATGTAGCAATAATTTTTAAATCAGAGTATGGTGTGATTGTTTCGTAATTAAACTTTTTATATAAAGAATAATAATTTATTATGTTCATAATGAAATAAAGCATCTAGTTTTATTGCAATTTCATCACTAAAGATTGCCATTCTTGAACAAGTTAATGTAAATTATTACTCCTAACCTTTAATTATAAAAATATGTAACCTTCACAAGAATAGATCATGGTTTTGCAACATCTAGATTTTTGTTTATGAAATTGTTTTTTTTGTAACGAATTGATAAATAATAATAATTGTTAAAAAAAATATATAACTTAAGACAACTGTATTATTAACCTAAGTTATTTCATGTAATATTTAAAGGAAAAAATCTGCTAAATATGATCATACACATGTTGAGGAATTAGGAAAGTAGATTATAATAATAACATTATTTTAATATATTCTTTCTAACATCTAGAGTATGTAATTTTTATTTGAAGACCTTCTGGTATGATACAGTCAATATCTTGGTAACTAGAGGTTCTATCAATTCGGAACAGAATTATCATGAGATTTATTAGATTATTACATAGAAAGATAACCTAAAAATATTGTACAGAATATGCTTCACACTCAATATGTTAATGTTTAGAAAAATAATATTTTTTGGCAAAGATTTTTCAGGTAATTCCTATTTCAGATTATATATATACTATTTTTAAGTAAAACTTATTAATTATTGTTCAGATTTCCAAAGTTTGAAGAGTAATACTACTGTGGGAATACAGTTTCAAAACCACTGTATAATATTTTACAAATTTGGTTAGGTAGAGAGAGGAGCTTGGACAGTGGAGGTGAGTGTTTAACATTAGATTAGGGCCCTTTAAACCTACACCTGGGTCACAAGTCCCAGGCACTGTTGAAGCTCCTCTCCCTGTAATGCGATGGACTCGGCACCTGCAAGGTGAATCCATGGAATGCTGAGAAGTTTTGTCTCTCTCTGTTTATTGTAACTTGAATACTATTTCTCTAAACATGTAAGGCTTTAGTATTAATGCCCTTCATATGTATAGTTTTCTTACGCGGTGAAGGCCATGATTTTTATTTTATTATGAACAAAGTAAATATAATATTTGAAACAATAAATCAAATTTAGTGTTTGCTAGTTGAATATACATATTATGTTTTAAAATGAGCCTTTCTATTATTTTAGGTATTAGTTTCAAGTCAATTAACTTGTTAGTAAAAAAAACGTATTTCATATCTTTCCCTCCAAAATCAGTAATATAGATAATAAACGTTAATATTTTATATAAATCGAGTTAGATAAAAAAATTCGTCAAAAAAGTCTAAATAACACTGTAATCTAATCTAGTACGTCTCGATTATATTTACATAGGATTGAAATGTTACGAAAATATCGATTCACTCTGAGCCTCACTTTTGCGGATTCGTTAAATACTTTAGACAATCACATCGTCGTATTCAAACAATCTCAGTTAACAATTTAAATTAATATACGAGTTATGAAAGTATAAATAGGAAAGAAAAGGGATCCATATGTTAATGTAATTACGACCTTATTATTCGGCAAATATGTCACATATGATAAAAATTTATTTTAAAAACGAAAGAATTTTATAATAAATCATACATATACTAAATTTTTGTTTGAAGAATGAAGTAAAATAACTTTCTTGCGATAGTTCAAGACTAGTTGTTTTAAAGCGTCGTGTATCCATCAAATATTATAAGTATGTATGACCGTATCGATATTAGGTTGTGTATGATTTCAAAGCCACAGGTGTTGGTTTGATATTTATCTAATGACGGCCTCTCCACGTGCCTGTGGGATGAATGGGATGGGATGGGTCGATGAGAGCGCCGCACTGCGGTCTATCCCCTTATAATAAGTTAATTATATATAACATATGTACATAATACGATATAAAATAAAATAATACTTAAGTATTAAATTAAATCATCTGTTTAAAAGGTATTTTAAATTTCGATTCGTAATATTTTTTTAACAATTCCAATAACGTATTGAAACCTTAGTCAAGTTATTTTGAATATGAAGCTCTTGGAAATTTAAGAAGTATGGTAGAGTGAACTTCTGATTATGACGAGGGGTAGTGTAATGCGATTCAGTATTATAGGGCTTCGCATGTAAATTATGGGTTTTATATGTTATATAAGTCATGGAGAACGGTGTGATGTGAAAAAATATATTGTCTCGAATATTTTGTATATAACAAGATATTATATATCTTTCTGAGTAAATAAACTCCGTGATATATGGAGATAGCATTGTTGATAGATCTTCTGTTATATGATAATGAATTTCTATATGAAATCTAATAAAATTACTTGAAACTATTCAAATATTTAGGGATCTTAGTTAACAGTGACTATATTTTGTTCAAGTTAAAATCATGATGACTGTTAAATGGATATAAAACTTCTTTATCAACTCCAATGATGTATACGAGTAGAAATTATTGAAAAGAATTCTTAGAAGATTAGATATGGACATTTAAATTAAAAAAAAACGTTTGTTAATTCATTATAAAGAACAATTTCATTATCTTTTAACTTTAAAGTTTAATTACTATTTAAATGATTATGTTGAATACATTAATGATAAACACAAAATAGTCTCTCGTGTGTTGTTATTAAGGTATACAATTGAAATAAAACAAGTATCTTTCTTTTCATCTAAACAGAACCCAATTTGTGGTATAAAACATTTATTTCGTTATAAAAACTGAGTAGAAATAAAATTAGCTGTTTTAAATGTTTTTTTAAGTGTGGCGTAATGTAATATTTATTTGTTTGAAAGATGTTTAACAAGTTTTATCATTAAGGTAACAGTACTTCGTTACCCTACAATTTTACCCAAATATAAAGTACACGCGTATTTTATTTTTTTGAAAACTACACAATCCCGTCATTCCGCTTACTTTTCAGCAACCGTGATTACAGATAGACGAGATAATATAAAAATAACGCGTATTAATTTGAAAATATAAGTTTAATTTCGAGTCTTAGATCTCATAAATTATAGAAATACAGCTGACTAACTAGTCACTACACAGTACATTAATACATATAATGTATGTATGTATTATTTCAATAGAACTACGTAAAATCCCTACTAATATTATAAATGCGAAAGTAACTCTGTCTGTCTGTCTGTCTGTCTGCTACGCTTTCACGCCTAAACCACTGAACTGATTTTAATGAAATTCGGTACAGAGATAGAGTTGACCTTGAGAAAGAACATAGGATAGTTTTTATCCCAGACTTTTGAAAGGTTCTCTTGGAAACGCGATATAACCGAACTCCACGCGGCGAAGCTGCGGGCGGAAAGCTAGTATTCTCTATAATCGGATAAGTGAGTACTGTCGTCGTTTTGATCGAAGCCAACTATTGTTGGTAATTAGGTTCAATTGACGAGATAGGTCAATTGGCCACGGTTCTACCTAGAACCTGTACCTTGGTCATTTAGATATTTATAGGCAGCCGCCTTTTATCTCTTTACATCGTGACCATATAGTGACCAGCGGTTTGGTTGGTTATTTGTTAAACATTTACAAACCAACAAGATCATGTTATTGAAATTTAATATGTATTATCATTTAAGATATATCCTACTAGCTTTCCGCTCGCAGCTTCGCCCGCGTGGAGTTCGGTTATATCGCGTTTCCAAGAGAACCTTTCAAAAGTCTGGGATAAAAACTATCTTATGTTATTTCTCAAGATCAATTCTATATCTGTACCAAAATTCATTAAAATCAGTTCAGTGGTTTAGTCGTGAAAGCGTAACAGACAGACAGACAGAGTTACTTTCGCATTTATAATATTAGTAGGGATGCTGTATATCTTTTAATGTAGAAAGGATAGATTTCTTATTACGAAAAACCTATTTCGAAAACACTCGCAAATAATTCATAATGAGTACCACTATAAAATCATTAGATATTATATCGTATCTTTTTATTATATATATAAATTAAAACTTTGAACAAAGACAAACAAATTTCATTATATATCATAACAATATAAATTAATTAATCTTTTGTTCTGTTTGTATGGCTTGATGAATACTTCTTTATATAATGTAAGGCACGTGTTTTTCTCGGTGACCGTCAAGTATTAACCGTGTTCTCTTAATAGTCACCAATTTTGTTAAACTGTTTTTAACAATATAGACCTAGTAT